GTCTCATCATTTGCATGAATACTGGCTCTAGTAAAATGATTACAATTTACTTATGTAGTAAACAACTGTAAAAAAAAGCAGCTCTATTTTTATATAAAATGACGAAGAAAATGTATTCTGTTGATGTTTATATCTGGATTAAAGGTACAATTACCATTGAGGTTTCCCAAGGTATCAGTTATAAATATTTTTGTTTCAACCTGACAGGTGCATCTACAGCTTTGCTTGGCAAGGAGGGTGCCATGGCATGTACAACAGCAGTGGAGACTGCCATTGTTAAACACTATAATGAGTAAGTTACTTCTGTCACTGTCTTCTCTTTTGGATTTTATTTGTTGGTGTAATTGAACATCTTGAAATGTTTTATTTTTAAACATTTTGTATGTGAACAGGGGTTTCCCCTGGATTTGGGATACAGGGAGTCCAAAAATGTTAATGTGTAATATTGTAACTGATATACACAGAGTCCAACCCAAGTAGGTCCCAAATATAAACCATGGGGGAGAGGGTATTTTTAAAAAAGACAAAAAATATAAATTAAAAATTAATTGAAATATTGTTTTTTTTATATGATTACCTTTATTTTTTGGAGTTTACATATTTATAATAATTATATTTGTAATTTTATTGTAAACAATAAATTTGATCTTTTTAAAGATTCATATTCTTTTAACTTAGATTCACTCATATAAGACAACCTTTTCTCCCTCACATCAATATCACACTGCTCAATAACACCACTGCTATTTTATCCAAACATCCAACTTTCTTTTATAATATAGATCATCTTTTGAGGCCTATGGCCGTCCAAGTGACAGCTGAACAGCTCTCTAGGGAAAGCCTTGCTTGCTCTTTTATGTGTTACATTTCTGTTTTAAGATTTTTTTTTTTTTTTTTTGTGAAAAAGAGTCAAGTCAGTCAGGTCTTTTCTAGATGATTGCAACAGTGATGATTGTTGAATATCACAACTGGTGCAATTTACAGGTGTATCCATTCTTCTTATTTATTTATGTGTGCAAACATGTTATGATACGTAATGGTTTAGATTGAATTTTTTTAGATTTATATATATTTATGTCATGTTTTTTTTATTATATTTTAGCCAAATAAGAGAGCTCATAGAAGAGGACCCAGAAGAATATAAAGAAATGTTAGATGTAAGTTAGAATAATTGTTTCATAAGATGAAAATAGTAAATAAAGGAAAGAAAATAAAAGAAGAAAATAGTAAATAAAGGAAAGACCAAAAGTCAGTCATATGGATGTTTAACAAGAAAACTGGGGCAGATATTGGTAAACTGACTGGGTAAAACATTGTATCACTGTTTAAAAAATTGTACTATTTCCCTCAAATATTTTGTCTTGCTGAATAATTATATTAAATTTTAAGTTTTTGTTTGTTAGTTTGTTTTTGGTTCAGCAATTTTTTCAAATATTTTATTTAATATTTGTTTCAGACTCTAAAGAAGTTTCGTGATGAGGAGCAAGAGCATCATGATACTGGAATAGACTTTGAAGCAGAGAAAGTATGTTCAGAATTCCTAGACATATTAAATGGGATATATTTGTTATAGAAGAAAATGTTTTATATCTGACCTCTAAAAATAACCTTTTCCATCTTACATTTTAACTGAAATAAGGTGCAGAGATAGAATTTTTAATACATTTTTAATTTTCGTAAATTCTTATTTTGAAACATAAAAAATTTAAATATGCTATATAAAATTACTGTTGTAATTTTTATGATTTTGATAATTCGTATTATGATAGAGTAAAAATGATCAATAAGAAGCAAATATTATATTTTTTTGTGTAAGTTTGGTATCGTTTGCAAAATTAGTTTCAATTTTTTTCTCTTTTTTTCAGGCTCCTCTATACAATGTTTTGTACCAGACAATTAAATTGGGATGCACTGGCGCAATATGGGTATCTGAAAGAATATGACGTTTTAAATAACGTTCACGTTGGACTGTTCACAAATACCACTTACCTTCGGAGCCTAGACAAAAACGAGTTATTTCATATCTTTGTTATTTCATTTAAAAGTGGATGAATCGACGATCAACAACAGCTAAATGCAAACATGACTTATTTATTGCAGTCATGTGTCGCAGTCTGCTATTGATCTTTTAACCTATGCAGCTAGAAGATACAAATTGTTCTGTAGCATTTTTTAATAAAGTGTATCAATTTATTTCAATACTGTTAGGAGACGGTCTAAAAACAAAAAAATACTGGACATGCCTTAAAGTCAAGAAAAGATTGATAAGAGCGATTGCCGTAGTTTTTTTTCTTGTAATAAACGCTGTTACTTAAAAAAAGCTTGAAAATAGTATGTTAAATTAATTTATTTTTACGACGATCTACCAAACAGTATGAAAATTGCTGTCCTTAAATCGCAGCAGTTTTATTTGACGATGCATGTTTTTCATATTTCAACAAAAGAAAAGTTATTCCGTTGAAATGTATTGTTACTGCATATATTTGCACTCATGTTTCATTCGACTCTCAACCATGACTAGAATTATCATGTCGCTTGCAAATTATGTGTAAAGAGAGCCCTCGGAAGCAACCATGTAGGATTAGCACAGCAACGGAAATCGTGAGATTACAATTTTTAAATTTTTTTTTTTTAACCGAGGGGGAGGGGGGGGGGGAGCTGCTCAGTAAAAAGGGCATCTTCAGGATATTTTTCATTAATTTCCCACTAAGACAAAAAATGAACGAAGCATTTCCCATTTTAATTCAGAACCGTGCATAATCTGTTTCTTTTTAAGTCGATCAGTACTGGGTTTCAGTTTTCCAACTTGAGCAATTTGACGTGGAAATATTACGTTAGAGACACGTATTCCTGCGTTTTTGTTCACTGTCCAAATATTTTAAGCGAAATTCATATAAATCACACAAATACTTTTTAATTTAAAGTGACCGATATGTATTTACTAAGGTTTCGAAAATTTTCTAGGGAGGTAAAAGTATTTTTGTGCGCCGAAAAAAATTGAACTGTGCGTTTTTAACTTCTTAAAAGTATTTTTTATGCCGTGCTTTGTACAAACTAATTAATATCATACGTTTATCAATCGATTCCGTCACTTTAAGGAAGCAAATTCTGACCAGAAATGAACAAGAAACGCAATGATAAGCTTTTCCGAACAAAACAGACTTTATTATGCCATAATAGAACCTGTAATGGTTTCCTACAGCTTTGAACTACTTGCGGATCTTATTATAAATTACAACAGACGTATTCACTTTTGTGACATTTTCATAAAACGTACTGACTAAAGCATGATTGTTACCCGTTTTGTGCCGTTTGTCAGCATACTTACATGTATTTAACAAGAGATCAACGCCTTAAGGCTGACTTTTACCCTTTAAATATACGCAACATTATTCATGAACTCAGTAATATGTTGCACAGCTGTATTATACTGGGCGATAATACGATTTAATGAAATAAACTATGCTACTTACTGTCCTGAGCCAGATGTGTAAGGTGCTGCGATTTACCCTGTATATTCAACACATTTCATAAACGTAGCAATACCAGATTACTTAAAAGCACAAAAAGCAGCAGCATTTTGTGAGACTGCTTTCAACTACATGTAGAATGTATATAACTTAAAAATCAATGCAGTCACTCTAGATTACTTTTTTAAAAAGATAAATTATTCGTTTTAATTTCTCGTTTCGGAACTAGTTATTATATGTATATATTCAATTTTTGGAGATTGATATTCTCGTGCTCTCTCGCTCTCTCTCTCTCTCAATACCCACTTCCTTTTAAAGTTTATTCTATTGCGATATGAAACTAATTATTTGCTATATCCAAACATAAATGTGCATCCTTTCAAATTGCTCAGATCACTTTTGTGGCACGATTATCCGTAATTTCTAAAGAGCAAATTATCTTCAAACAACTTTATTTAGAATACATTTATATGAATGAACCGTGCATGGGACATGTGTAGAAATAATTCAAATAGCAAATTTCTTGACGGCATAGTTGTTCTAGTACTAAATACTAGTACTAATACAAAAATTCACTTTGAATATGTAGACTTTTTCCTTCAAGTGACCTAAGCCGAGTAAACGGCTACATGCACTTATTACATATTCACTTCGCGTGAGAATATTATTTTTCTAAGTTGTTTAAATGATTTGCCTTTGAGAGAAAAAAAACAAAATCATAGGCTATCTGAATAATAGGAAGATTATGGCAAAATTTCCAGTGCCGGGATGATTTTCGAAATAAATCTTTACAAAAAGACAAACAAAGTTTGATAAATTAATTTCATATGCGACCCTTAAGTAGGATACAATACAAGCTACCAGTAGGTAGTCAACTATCCTCTAAGAAGCAGAATATCATATGTCCCAAATTTTAATAGAAAATAAGGCTGAATTTGGCATTAACATAAAAAAATAATCCGTTGGTACTGCCCTCATACTTATCTTATCGTAAATATTATCCTATAACTGGCTCTTGCTCGTCTCTTTCTGACTTTTCAGCCTCACATTCCCTATCTTCTACTCCCATCCAATTGTCAATTAGATCACCAAAATCTGGTAATTTGCTGCCCGGTAGAAGGCCGTTTGACAATCCATTTCCAGTTTTATTATTATTTTTAGGCACTGAACCCGGTTCTTTCCAAAATGATTCTGGCAACTGGCGATCATTCATTGGTACAACGTGTTCAAATTTTTTGACGTCAAATTTAATGCGTTTTAGTTTTTCATGAGAATTTAGAACATTTTTATCTGTAAGGAAATTCCGCAATCCGTACTCAAAAAGCTCGTTCAGAGGTCCCATACCAATCTTTTTGTCCATTTTGCCAGTGAATTCTTGCTCAGAACCTTTGGATGACTGAAGTTCAACGAAGTCATTTGATGAAGAACGTTTTGATTTTTTGGAAGGCTTGGGGTTATCTTCGGAATCGTACCCATGTGCTATTTTGAGTAAATCTGCGTAGTAAAGCTCTCTGCCGGATTTTCCGGATGTCCATTTATCTTGGTAAATATCGCAAGCATCCTCTACGTCTTTCTTTTGTCCAAAGAATTTTTGGATATCCTTATTCACCATCTCAGCAAAATTCAAAAGCTTTTGGGTAGCGTCATTGTTCTTTTGTTCTGTTGCATTCAATGCACGTTCCAGATCTTCATCCGAAAATGTTTCTTCTTCTTCATCTGTAAACTCTTCGTCTACTTCTTCGTCAAAGCTTTCATCGAAATCACTACCTCTAGCAGCTGACAAATTAGCAGACGACATAGTGGTGGAAGACACGACCGCATCTTTGAGGTTAGGATTAATTGAGATATCCTGAGGGCCCGGATGCCCAAAGATGGTTCCTACTCGATGAAGAGCTGTTTGTTCTGTCATTGTCAACATGTCATTACTGTGCATACTTTTCTCAGATAAGTTGTAATATCTCCCCCTGAACTAATCCGCAATTTATCAAAAGTTGTCTCTTGATCAACGAGGACAACCCATGTCTCTCGGCTTAGGCACAAACAAAAGTCTTAAGATGTCAACTGCAAAAAAGCCTTGACCTAGAATTTAAAAAGATTAAAAAAATCTCATTACTGACAAGAAGTGGCAACATACTTTTCCGCGTTGTTATGCTATTTGCAGAACTTTAAATGGTAGGCATGTTTTTATAAATTAGTGGTTTAACATGCCATGTATCCTATATGCTAGCAGTAATAGTAATAATAATATAGTATTAAAAAAGTTAGACTTTAAAATAGCATGAAAATTCAACTAAGTTTTTCTTCAATACTACAACGCATTTTTCGCTTTGTTCAAATTTTGTCGGAATAATACTCGAACCCAAAACCGCTCATTTAATTACACTTATCATCACCCAACCACGTGTTTAGTCCTTGTTACTAGGCATGTCTACGCCGCTTGGCATCTCATTTATAAGGAAGAAAAATTGGACTCAAACCCTCAAAGTTCAGGAAATGGGTTTGGGTGGTGAATGAACGTTGGACTTTGGCATTTCAAATGTGTGTTAATAAATGGTGCGCAGTCTTTGTATTCTCGATTGTTTGACCGAGCATATAGTTTGTCGTGCTTTGGATTCAGTTAATTAGAACCAGCTACTGATTTTCGCGTGTAATAACTGTGCGTGTATTGCTAAGATAGCAGATCCCATACGCTCCCTTACATCCCCACCTCTTTCGTCCTACTTCTGGTGGGAAATAAATGTCATTTATATCACTGTTTACCAACAGCTGTCAGATATAAACTTGAACAAGATTCTTCAAAACTCTGGTATTTAATTAATTGCCCAAAAAAGTTTATCAGCATCAAAAGCAAATTAATGCCGAAAAAATTAATGCCGATAGTTCTGTTAAAAAATTCCAGTGAAGACTTGGTATTGTGAGCTATTGTTTGGACATTTCATCTTTGAGATGATGAAAATCTTCAATTTCAAACCTGTAAGTTCCTAACGTCAGAATTAGTTTTTTCTATCCCTATACTCCAACTATCACAACTAGTGTTCCCATTGCAATATAAATGTTTAATAGAAAATATAATGGCAATATAATTTTATCTAATAGATACGAACGTTAAAGTTTTTCTCCTGACAAAATATTATTATGCGTTAAAATTTGGCTATTCTCTAAAAGAAATACGCTCCACCAAATACGATATTGCATATATTTGATAAATCATAATTTCTCCGCTATATAAATTCAAGGTTCCCTTTTATTGCTCTCTAGAGATAATGTTTAGTGCTTGGAAACCTTGCATAATGATTTCGTATTTTTTAATCAAAATTCGAATTCAAAATATCAAATATTTCGAATATGCAAAAGACTACACTTACATGTTGACAATAGCAACCACTTCAAATTACAGGCTTAAAGAAGTTAATAAGTAAGGTGCAAGTAACTACAGGTTACAGGTTTTAGAGGTTAAAGATTAATTCACAGGTTAGAGGCCAGTTTGTGTTGGTGTCGTATGTAATGGTATACTTTGGTATATACAAAACGACATTCATTTGCTAGTAGTTAAAATAGAATATTCCATTCCATCTGCTTTCTTTGATCAAGTTAAATCGCAGTCAGGCCTTACTAACAAATGAACTTTTAACAATAAATGCATTATGCCAAATTGGGATTGGTGGATTTAGAATATGTTTGGATTGGGACTGTGCCTGTGACATCAATGCAAACCCCTTTTGTTATTATCATAAATACCATATCCGCCTTTTGGTTTCATTATATCAATAAAACACACACAGTAATTTCCGATGTTATATATTTCATGCAAGTACCATCAAAATCCAAATAATGTTTTTCAATCTAATTATCTTTCTTTTACTACATAAGATTCTGTTTCTATGTAATTTCCCCTGACATTTGCTGAAGAAAGCAGCTTTGTTTAATTTGTACTACTCGACCAGGGCCAAGATTTTCGTATCCTGCCCACAGACTTAAACCTGGAGAGAATGTGGAGATCAACGTAAACAATAATCATTGTTCAAACGAAAATATACGTGTAAAAAGGCTATAAAACTAAATTACTTTAATAAAGAAAATCTGCATTTTTTCGTAGGTGTGAACGCGATTGAAAAAGGATTTATCAATACGAAAACAAGATAAATGAAAAAAATGCACAAAAAATTGCAAAATACCCTTATTGAAAGTGATAAAAATGTTTCGCAGAATTATATTCTTCATCATAACATTGTACAAATTTAAAAATATCTTTCAAACAATGTATGTACTTGCATGAATTATGTTGTTTATGCTTCTACAATGCATTTTTACGGATTAGAAAAATTCAAGTGTTGTGCTTACACGCTGGACATAAGTTGACCTGAGCTTAAAGGTACGAAGCCTTTTTTAATTCATATAAACATAAAAGCAAAAATATATTAACACAACGTAATGTGTAATGGCATCCTTGCGCATTTCACTTTCCACTGCACATGTACATGTATTCCAGTGAGATCAGCAGAATGCATTATACATGTAAGCTTAAATGCTTCGTAATGAAATGATTTTGTCGTTACTTTTCCTTTATAAGTCCATACATTAATTTCCACAAAACTAGCAGCACATAATTTGTGGCTTATTATACAATGCAAATTAAAGGAAACTCGAAATTTCAGTGAGGAAACAGCATAATATCATCAACAAACGATTTATATTTTTTAAACAAAGCTTCTGGATCGTTAAAAATTGTTTTACTAAATATATAATGCACATTTCCTCTACATATACCTGTCTCTTTTACTTTTTTATTTTATATATTTACTTTATTTATTCATTTATCTATTATTATTATTATTATTATTATTATTTACTTTGTTGCATTCACTAGATTAAGTCCATTATTTTTACATTGTATGTTTCTTAAAGATGTCATGATCTTGCGGTGTACATGCATGTCCTTATAATTTCTTTTGTGTTTGCAATTTGTAGCATTATTAAACACAATTACGTGAACAGGATGACAGAAACAAAATTTCCTGACAAAATAGCAATTAATCGAACCATTATAGCTTTGACAACTATTTCCACTTGTGCCAAGTTAGGAAAATGGAAAGCTAAAAACCACTAAATAGGAACGCAATCGGAATTGTTCTTCAAAAAAAATGGAGCACGAATTTCTCTAATTATACTTGTTGCCTTAAGTAGTAGAAGCTCTGTCTTATTTTCAATCTATCTATTCACGAAAAATACGTAAGCCTAATATGTGAGATGCATGCAAGCTAAAGATTTTGCAGCGAAATAACAGATTGAAATATGACTGCATAAAAGGACTTCAAGAACTTTTTCTTTTCTATTTCTTTTCTATTTTTTACAATTCAGAATATAATTGCTTACATTTTTAAACGGAAGCACTTACCAAATAATTACAGAAATAATAAATGGCTTTGTATACATAATAACATGTTTGGATATACGATTTTTTAAAACTGTATTCAACATTGTGAGCTGTGAGTGATAAATCACGTAAGCTACTTTCTGCCTATAAATAATTTTTACGCCATGTTGAAAAATCCAATGTCACCCATTTCAGTTTTTAAATTTTCTTAGTTATGAAAAAAGCGATATGTTTTGAACTAAACATGATGAATTGCGCAAAATCAAATTTTCATGAGCATGGTCGAAGGCTGCTTTTTTATGAGGGGAGTCTCTAAATATCAAACGTGTATTTATATACGAATAAAATATATTTTGACTGTTCCTTTTGCTTTAAACAACCACGACTAATCTGAAGATTAAACATACTGTACAATTCCTTGTGTATTAGTCAGGGATAAACCACAAAGAAAAGGGGGGCTTTAAATTCATTCTTTCCAGATAGCGTGTCTATTTTTTTTCGGGGTGGCTATCTTCTTTTTTTAGGTTAAATATTCCACTTATCTGTATGTTAAATATTGGTGTACATCAATGCACTGTACTGACATCGTGTAGCTCGAATGTATACCTTTTGCCGTCGTTTTCACAGATAGTAGTCGTCTTCAAAGATATTACGGTTAAATTTTACTTAACATATTCTGCGTGTCAACGTTGTCGAAGCCAATGATTTAAGCAATAAAAATTCTAGGAAAATCTTATCCCGGTCATTTATTGTCGCCATCATGGTGGTCGAATGTCATAACGTCTTAATTCTGTTTATAACTTAAGGGATATAATTAAGTCAGATAGTTTCCGTGAATCTGAAGGATCTGTGATGTATCCTTAAAAATCCACTTAACCACCCCGGTAGTGGAAACGGTGAACATCTAAATGATTTTACCGCAAGCGGTTACTGCCTACAATAAGAACCGTGTCATAGACGATCGGTCCACCAAAATTATCGAAAAGAATGAGGCTGCCATTTTGTTTTGAGTTAAATATTGTAGGTCCCTGCGACAACCGATCGTTATCCTATGCCAACAAAGTAACTGCTGTAAAAACATGTGGTTGACACCACAAATTTCAGAAGCAAAATCTCAGAAAACTATCACTTACCACGGTTGCTGTTCTGGCTAATTACTTTTCTCTGCTGCGGGTTCCAAAATGTCCCAGTTACGGTGTCGGAGCTCTGCGGATGGAATCTCGTCGTGCCAGCTACGCCTGGTGTTTGCCTAACTTCANAAAATCTTAGAAAACTATCACTTACCACGGTTGCTGTTCTGGCTAATTACTTTTCTCTGCTGCGGGTTCCAAAATGTCCCAGTTACGGTGTCGGAGCTCTGCGGATGGAATCTCGTCGTGCCAGCTACGCCTGGTGTTTGCCTAACTTCTATCAACACTCTTACGCGATCCCGTGTGTATTCTAACCTAAAAGTGTTTGTACACGCTCTCCTTAAAACAATTCTTCCATTAACTACGCATTGTAGTCTGGAGACATATGTTGTGATCCCACTTAAAACCTCGACGCTAAGTTGTAGCTTGCGTAAATCCGGCGTTAATTGTGCGAAGATCCCCCAAGATCTGAATATATAAGCCTTACGCTGGAAGTACGCGGTGTCGTGAGCTATGTACGTGTTCCATTTGTTTGATTTGCCACAAGCGTAGTGTAAACCGCTATTTCAGGTATTAAATATTCATGTCATATCACAGATATATAGGCTTCAAGAAAGACTAGTTCAACGTCTCCGTCGACAAATTCTTCAAACTGACCGAGTCCATCTACTGCATACGTCTACGTGTTTCTCTTCGCAGGAAAGCAGTAGTTCTCACTGACAGCAAAACTAGACCGTTTCTAAATATTGAAATTTAGACACCAGTAGCTTGGTCATCTCCAGGGATTTAACCTCTGACCGGCAAGCTTATCAAGGCATGCCTTGCTCGGTGTTTATCAATGGGAACCTCAGCCTCTTTCAAAACATTATTTTACTAACATGGAGCATAACATGGCGATTTATCACAGATAATTCTAATTAAAATCAATAAAGACCAATGCTTACAAGGAGAGGGAGGGGAAAGACGGACTTACGTTTCCGAGGGAGCAAAGGGATAGACTCTCAAAAATAATTTTGCAATTTTAGAATATTCTATCGGTATAGAGCTAGCACTAATAATGTAATTGGTCCACGTGTGAAAGTATTTACAATATAGAAAAAGTACCGAATAGTGAAAAATTAAATAAAACAATATTAATACAGACAAGATAAGGAGATAGAGAAAATTTACTCGTGACGGGGTTTTCCCAGCCCTGATCAGTTTAGCTGGGCCTTCAAAGTAAAGCCACTTGTAAAAAAAATCCCAAGCTTTTTTTTTTACCATGGTGTCGAGGGCACAAGGAAATGCAGTGTTTGGCAAATATAGAGGCTTCAAATATCAATTCAGTTTGCTAAATGTACGCAAAGTGTTTTCTTTTTACAGAATTCCCTATGTTGTCTGTTCAGCAGTAACTACTGGGAGAGAATCTTTGCTAACCTGTCAATGTATGAATAGGATTTTAACCTTTTTATAGATATTTTATTGCTTGGTCTTCTATTCTAAATGCATCTTGCGCAGGTAAGATGTAATTTCTCGTCTTGTTCTCCCGAAATATTTTGCTAGAACTCACCTGCCACCTGGAAGCAAGAGCTGCTTTATCTTAATCTGATTGGATAATTTCTGTTACATCATTAGCATAATGCGGTGATTACTCGACGATCGGAAAAAGCGCGAAAGTTTGCACTGGCGACTTGATGAATTGAGGCTCAACTTTTAGCTCTTAAAATGATTTTCATATTTTTAACGTGTCTCCTCTGTCAAAAGAAAGAAATATGTAGACTGGAAATGGCAGTTCTAAAAACATCTAATTCAAAATTCGACCAAGAAAGAGAATTGCGTTTCTGATAATGTGCAGAAACTAATGCAATTTATTTCATTTATTTTTAGAACGAATGCATATTTGTCGTGAAAGGGTAATTTAATCAATATGAAATTTGATTTTCAACTAGTTATGGTAGCGGTTCTATATGTTACACTTTTTCCTGAGCCAAACGACACGAATATTAAGAAAAATATTTTTCATCAAAAAGCACTTTCATACATATTTTTCAAATTTTCTTAGTCCCATATCACCAAAAATAGGATTGATCATGCATCATTTGGAAAAATACTCCATACTTGTTTGCCTCTGCTTGGGGCAGTTCTACACGCGGCGTTATCTCATGGAAAGGTGGCCACTCTTGCCAGTAAGCAGTCCGGTAAACGAAATTATCACAACTTGGGGGAGATTAAGGAGGGACAGCCAGATCGGTAGGCTGGCAACTACGTAAACATGATTTACGACTTTACTGACGGTTGGGCAAGTGACGTGATGTATGTTCAGTCACACAAGATCATAGATTTATTTACTTGTATGACTGCGGGGATACTGTGTAAAAGATGATGTGATAAAATTTGACATCTTTGATGAAAGGAATGGAAAATTTAAAAAATAGCAGCGAGAGAAAAAACGGGCTGCTCAAGGGAAAATGAACTATGTCAGATATTTACATTCATTAGGTTAAATATTCCACTTATCTGTATGTTAAATATTGGTGTACATCTCTATTTCCATTTAGTTTATATTTATATATAGTTTATATTTAGAAAGATCTGTGTTATCACAGGATAGAAATGAATACAGAATTTATGAGATTCTTACATCCCAGACTGTATGTGTCCTTGTCTTCTATAATGTCAACCTTAAAAACTTCCCCGAAGACATATGTAGATTTCTGAAGTGACACAAATTTATTCACTTTTAGATTCTTAATGTTAATAGCGATTTTTTCAGAAAGACATTTGACGTATTTTTAGTTAGTCAACTTTAGTAATTTATTCATCATTTCTTGCTCTAGGGTCGATCCAGATTCGTCGATTTGAAAATAAAAAATGGAAGGATAAAACACTATCTATTTCTAATAACTTCAAAAATGGAAAGTAGAGAATAAATCACCTCCATCACAGGGGGTTTGGACGACTTCCCCGGGCGCAGCCTAGTTTGGCTAATAAATTTGGAGATCGTAAACAAGGCTAGTGGTGCTTTTGCCTGAACCTATCTACGGTCATTTTACAATTCAAAGACACATGTTGCACTACAGGTTACCCTTTCCACGCAACTGGTTCTTTGGATCACTTATGTCTTACTAAAAACTAAGTATGGAAAATGGCAGTAGATCTTTTCTGGTGACAAGTCTGGTAGCCCGAGCCCTGCCACCAGAGACTGGATGTCACCGCCAATGTTAAATCTGATTGATTGGTCATTCATTCATTCTTATCTCCTACTTATGATTTGATTCAAGGGGCCATTGTGGCAGCGCATACTTCACCTATCATAAAGTTGTTTTTAAAATTACTGCCGGTAACTAGGTTGGGCAGAGCAAATAAGGTGGTGAACCCAAATTTGTGTATTTCAGCGAAAGCACTTTTACTTGACAATGCAATCCGATTGTATTTTTTAAAGAATTGCAAATCAAGTCGAGTTAATATTTCTGTTCATAGCGGCCCAATTCCTGCGTATCTTTAATAATGCAACCGGCAATAATAGGGGAAGTTGTAACATACTTTCTCAGTTGCCTTGATACATGTAAGTATTTTTTTTGCTACATTTATGGGCTATTCTTTTTTCCGAAATAGTTGTCTGTGGCGTTTATCTTAACTCAGTGTATTTTTCCTTTTTGTAATTGAATTATACATCACAAATGTATTTTTTGCTACTTTTCGAATGTCTGACAATACTTTTAATTTAAATCCTACCGAGCAGAATACAGTGTTTATAGAGTTATATACAATGTACACATGTATGGTGTAACGTGAACAGTTTATTGTTTTTCAATTCTTCAAAAAAATAGCAAAACATGCTACATAGCTCCTAAAAATTAAATTTATCAATAAAAGGTATCACAGCCTGGATTAAAATTGAAATGCTCTCAAAAGATTATACGCAACGAGTCTGAACTATGAGAACAGTTTCACCTCAGGGTACATTTAACAAGTAAAAATCACAGAGACAGCTGACCTTAGCTGGTAGTGGCAAATATCTTAACACGCATAAAAGTGGCTACTGTGTTTACACATACTGTACAGCTTCCCAATGAAACTGAAAATTTTCCTTTGAGACATCTAGATTCTGATATTATCGAAAGTGATAAATGTGAAAGATTTCACAAAGCTAAATCTGTACAAAATATGAAAATATGTTCAACGAGAGAAAAGGGCTTTTAGAATAATTAGGCCTGTGATAGTTAAGAAAATAATATTGTACACATTCTTTGAAAAAAGAATTAAAATGATCGCTGAAGGGCAGAATATGGGGATTCCATTGTCTTGAACTTATTCAAAGGCATGCTGTATCCCCTTTTATGTAATATAAAGAAATTGTTTCCTCTTACTCAGAACGTTTTATTCAAAGTTAAAATGCAAATTATGTGTAAACGTTCATGTGGAGCCGAGTGAAGACTGGGTTGGTCCTATTAAAATGTTTATATATAAAATACTTTTGCTTTTGGAAGTGCAAAAATTCTGGAAAAATGCAGACCCAAGAAATGTTTGTCAAGTGTACTTCTTTCTTGCTCCATAATCCCGTATACGTTCTCCATAAATTAAATAATTTAGACATTCAAACAAAACAGTCAAGGTGAAATATGAAAATATCAGCTAAAAATATAGGCATAAGGCTTTGCCCAAGGAAACTGTGCATATCGATTTGAACAATTTCTCAGTTGTTCTCAGTTGTAAGGGCACATTAACGTAGCCACTTATTTCATCACTAAGGTGATGTCAAGCGAAGAGTTAGAATCACGGATAATCTCCACACATAAAATTTGCTTGTGTTGCTTAAAATAACAAGAACAATGTTTATCAAGAAACGAAATCTTATATCTATTATTACCACTACAATGATTATCCTTAAAACAGCTTTTGCCACCGTGCTTTAAATATTAAAAAAGAGACAAAATATGGTTACAAATTTTCAGAGAAAATGGTCATATGAATACTATAAATATGGAATCTATATAAAAATAAATCTACTCACTTAATAGCTCAAAAGATCAAAATCAACTTTCTGCATAGATATGAAGTGATTTTTCCCTTTAGATATACCAAGTACATAATTGCACATTTACATACTGTATCACGTACATTCAGATAAGGGTGATTTTTCTAAAGTAAGAAATTGGCCACATATGTATTGAATATTTATATTAAGACCAAGTTTAAATTTATCGAGAGCTTGATTTGCTGAAGTAATTTTTTAATTTTGTTTTATACATTGATGCACTAGAAAATAAAAATTAGTTCAGTACCTTTCCAAGTATAAACACAATTTCGTTAAATCTGCTATTACACGAAAACACAAATGAAAAAAATAAATGATATGATGTATCAATGTGACATTATTTACAATGATAAAATTATGCTTTTACATATAAATTACATTTTGATTCAATATGCCCTTATTTTTAGCATCGGGGACGTTTGTTGTGGGTTCTGTGTTAGATTTTAAATAACGGTCGAGAAATCTCTTATAATTATGTCCGATGTCTAAAAACGCTTAGCAAAATAAAAATACGATAAACTTTAAAGCAATGAGATCGATAGATAAATTCTAACAAAAAACATCTACGTGTAATAAAATGTTACAACAATTAGATTTACATTGCACAATAAGAACTCAGTGAGATTGTTAATCACTTAATAGAAGATACTGGCATAGTGACAGCTTAAATAGAATGACTATAATGTATATGCTTGCCCCAATGTTTCCCGTTTCTGCAAAACTCAGACGTGAAATACAAAAATAATTTTCTTTTGTCCCGACTTCACGATCTCTTTTTACGTAATCAAAGGTTACGACATGAAGATCGGTCGGAGTCTTGGTTAAAGTCCTGCATATTTGGAGTTTGTCGTTGTGTCCGTGGTACGAATGGGGTCGTCCTTGGTACCATTCATCGTCTGGACTATTTGTGCGTTGTAACAGATAATTGCACAGTGTTACTGGAATGATTCTGAAATGAAGAAAAAAGTTCTTGTCAAAGCCTCGCTGAGAGTCGAACTCAGGTTCTGTTTATTACACAGGCGTTTTAACCAACTAGTAGGCCACCTGCGATATCAATATTGTCTTGGTAATAAATTTATATCCACGGCTAAATGCATTCACTGAAAATGTGGAAAGGATGTAAACTATAACAAGCAAGTACAGACGTGATAATTTATTAACTGTTTGTAAGTGTTAATTTTTAAAAGAAATTTTCACGGGAATTAATATTTTCAAATATTTCTTTTTTGATAAAATTTTGAAGCAGCTTGAATGAAGACTGATAATCATTGATAGAAGAAGACTATGAAATGTTGTTCAACTATGCTATTTTTATGATTTATTTTACGTTTATGAAAATGAACATTTTTGTGAATGTTAGACTTGAGTAAAATGTATGTGAATAAACTACACCGGAGTTAACGTTGTTATACGTCTGAGGTTATGTAAACTAATTCCAGATCCGTGTATTATCAAGTTGAAGATTGATTGGGATACATTAAATAAATCCATCTTATCAATACATCAATTACTGAACAATACAGAAATATCCATGTCTGAAGCAACTCCACGATTACAGTCTCAACAATTAAAATGTTAACGATCATTTTAAGCAATAAAGGTTATAGTATCACATGGAATGATTTCATTGCTCTTCATTATGTCAGTNCAGAAATGAATACAGAATTTATGAGATTCTTACTTCCCAGACTGTATGTGTCCTTGTCTTCTATAATGTCAACCTTAAAAACTTCCCCGAAGACATATGTAGATTTCTGAAGTGACACAAATTTATTCACTTTTAGATTCTTAATGTTAATAGCGATTTTTTCAGAAAGACATTTGACGTATTTTTAGTTAGTCAACTTTAGTAATTCATTCATCATTTCTTGCTCTAGGGTCGATCCAGATTCGTCTATTTGAAAATAAAAAATGGAAGGATAAAACACTATCTATTTCTAATAACTTCAAAAATGGAAAGTAGAGAATAAATCACCTCCATCACAGGGGGTTTGGACGACTTCCCCGGGCGCAGCCTAGTTAGGCTAATAAATTTGGAGAAACCGTAAACAAGGCTAGTGGCGCTTTTGCCTGAACCTACCTACGCGTTCATTTTACAATTCAAAGACACATGTTGAACTACAGGTTACCCTTTCCACGCAACTGGTTCTTTGGATCACTTATGTATTACTAAAAACTAAGTATGGAAAATGGCAGTAGATCTTTTCTGGTGACAAGTCTGGTAGCCCGAGCCCTGCCACCCGAGACTGGATGTCACCGCCAATGTTAAATCTGATTGATTGGTCATTCATTCATTCTTATCTCCTACTTATGATTTGATTCAAGGGGCCATTGTGGCAGCGCATACTTCACCTATCATAAAGTTGTTTTTAAAATTACTGCCGGTAACTAGGTTGGGCAGAGCAAATAAGGTGGTGAACCCAAATTTGTGTATTTCAGCGAAAGCACTTTTACTTGACAATGCAATCCGATTGTATTTTTTTAAAGAATTGCAAATCAAGCCAAGTTAATATTTCTGTTCACAGCGGCTCAATTCCTGCGTATCTTTAATAATGCAACCGGCAATAATAGGGGAAATTGTAACATACTTTCTCAGTTGCCTTGATACATATAAGTATTTTTTGCTGCATTTATGGGTTATTCTTTTTTCCGAAATAGTTATCTGTGGCGTTTATCTTAACTCGGTGTATTTTTCCTTTTTGGAATTGAATTATACATGGCAAATTTATTTTTTGCTACTTTTCGAATATCTGACAATACTTTTAATTAAAATCCTACCGAGCAGAATACAGTGTTTATAGAGTTATGTACAATGTACACATGTATGGTGTAATATGAACAGTTTATTGTTTTTCAAACATTCTTTAAAAAAATAGCAAAACATGCTACATAGCTCCTAAAAAATAAATTTATCAATAAAAGGTATCACAGCCTGGATTAAAATTGAAATGCTCTCAAAAGATCATATGCAATGAGTCAGAACTATGAGAACAGTTTCACCTCAGGGTACATTAAACAAGTAAAAATCAGAGACAGCTGACCTTAGCTGGTAGTGGCAAATATCTTAACACGCATAAAAGTGGCTACTGTGTTTACACAAACTGTATATACAGTTTCCCAATGAAACTGAAAATTTTCTTTTGAGACATCTAGATTATGAAATTATCGAAAGTGATAAATGTGAAGGATTGCACAAAGCTAAATCTGCACAAAATATGAAAATATGTTCAACGAGAGAAAAGGGCTTTGAAAATAATTAGGCCTGTGATAGTTAAGAAAATAATATTGTACGCATTCTTTGAAAAAAAGAATTATAATGATCGTTGAAGGGCAGAATATGGGGTTTCCATTGTCTTGAACTTGTTCAAAGGCATGCTGTATCCCCTTTTATGTAATATAAAGAAATCGTTTCCTTTTACTCAGAACGTTTTACTCAAAGTTAAAATACAAATTATGTGTAAACGTTCCTGTGGAGCCGAGTGAAGACTGGGTTGGTCCTATTAAAATGTTTATATATAAAATGCTTTTGCTTTTGAAAGTGCGAACATTCTGGAAAAATGCGGACCCAAGAAATGTTTGTCAAGTGTACTTCTTTCTTGCTCCATAATCCCGTATACGTTCTCCATAAATTAAATAATTTAGACATTCAAACAAAATAGTCAAGGAGAAATATGAAAATATCAGCTAAAAATATAGGTATGAGTCTTTGCCCAAGGAAACTGTGCATATCGATTTGAACAATTTCTCAGTTGTTCTCAGTTGTAAGGTCACATTAACGTAGCCACTTATTTAATCACTAAGATGATGCCAAGCGAAGAGTTAGAGTAACGGAAAATCTCCACACATAAAATTTGCACGTGTTGCTTAAAATAACAAGAACAATGTTTATCAAGAAACGAAGTCTTATATCTATCATTACCACTACAATGATTTTCCTAAAAACAGCTTTTGCCACCGTGCTTTAAATATTCAAAAAGAGACAAAATATGGTTACAAACTTTCAGAGAAAATGGTCATAGGAATACTATAAATATGGAATCTATATAAAAATAAATCTATTCACTTAACAGCTCAAAAGATCAAAACCAACTTTCTGCATAGATATGAAGTGATTTTTCCCTTTAGATATACCAAACATATAAACGCACAATAAGAAACTGTATCACGTACATTTAGATAAGGGTGATTTTTCAAAAGTAAGAAATTTGCCAATTATGTATTGAATATTTATATTAAGACCAAGTTTAAACTTATCGAGAGCTTGATTTGCTGAAGTAATTTTTTAATTTTGTTTTATACATTGATGCACTAGAAAATAAAAATTAGTTCAGTACCTTTCCAAGTATAAACACAATTTCGTTAAATCTGCTATTACACGCAAACACAAATGAAAAAAAATGATATGATGTATCAATGTGACATTATTTACAATGATAAAATTATGCTTTTACATACAAATTGCATTTTTATTCAATATGCCCTTATTTTTAGCATCGGGGACGTTTGTTGTGGGTTCTGTGATTTTAAATAACGGTCGAGAAATCTCTTATCATTATGTCCGATGTCTAAAAACGCTTAGCAAAACAAAAATACGAAAAACTTTGTCCAATATCTAAGAACGCTTAGCAAAATAAAAATACGATAAACTTTAAAGCAATGAGATCGATAGATAAATTCTAACAATAAACATCTACGTCTAATAAAATGTTACAACAATTAGATTTACATTGCACAATAAGGACTCAGTGAGATTGTTAATCACTTAATAGAACATACTGGCATAGTGACAGCTTAAAAAGAATGACTATAATGTATATGCTTGCCCCAGTGTTTCCCGTTTCTGCAAAACTCAGACGTGAAATACAAAAATAATTTTCTTTTGTCCCGACTACACGTTGTCTGTTCACGTAATCAAAGGTTACGACATGAAGATCGGACGGAGTCTTGGTTAGAGTCCTGCATATTTGGAGTTTGTCGTTGTGTCCGTGGTGCGAATGGGGTCGTCCTTGGTACCATTCATCGTCTGGACTATTTGTGCGTTGTAACAGATAATTGCACAGTGTTACTGGAATGATTCTGAAATGAAGAAAAAAGTTCTTGTCAAAGCCTTGCTGAGAGTCGAACTCAGGTTCTCCTGTTTATTACACAGGCGTTTTAACCAACTAGTAGGCCACCTGCGATATCAATATTGTCTTGGTAATAAATTTATATCCACGGCTAAATGCATTCACTGAAAATGTGGAAAGGATGTAAACTATAACAAGCAAGTACAGACGTGATAATTTTTATAACTGTTTGTAAGTGTTACGTTTTAAAAGAAATTTTCACGGGAATTAATATTTTCAAATATTTCTTTTTTGATAAAATTTTGAAACAGCTTGAACGAAGACTGATAATCATTGATAGAAGAAGACTATGAAATGTTGTTCAACTATGGCATTTTTATGATTTATTTTACGTTTATGAAAATGAACATTTTTGTGAATGTTAGACCTGAGTACAATGTATGTGAATAAACTACACCGGAGTTAACGTTGTTACGTCTGAGGTTATGTAAACTAATTCCAGATCCGTGCATTATCAAGTTGAAGATTGATTGGGATACATTAAATAAATCCATCTTATCAATACATCAATTACTGAACAATACAGAAATATCCATGTCTGAAGCAACCCCACGATTACAGTCTCAACAATTAAAATGTTAACGATCATTTTAAGCAATAAAGATTATAGTATCAAATGGAATGATTGCATTGCTCTTCATTATGTCAGTAAAAAAAAAAGAAAAAAAAAACCGGGCTTCAGAGGGGAAGTCTATGCGTTTTTTTTATTCTATACTAAGCCTTGCCGTAGAGTTAAGAACTTGGTGAAAAAGCTCTGATACCGTTTTTCTTTCAGTCAGCAAGAAGGAATAAACTACTAAAAGAAGACTTTGTTGAATTGATAGAAGAAGAATAAAAATAAATAAATAAAACGCAACCAAAAAATTAATAGTGCTAATAAATTAATAAATGACAAAAAGACAAGCACAGACAAGTAAATTATGAAATTAAATGCAAAATAAGCATAGAGTATCGCTGAAGATAGAAAAAATAATAAAAATAAGAAAGAAGACATATTAGGGTGCAAAAAAGACTGTTTATAAAAATAACGTATTAATTGTACTAACTCATTACGTCGACACCAGTGAAAACATGAAGATAATAGCACTAGAGTTGGTTCAACAATGCTCTATATTTAGGTATCATATGATGTACAAGTTCCAAACGCATGGTGTATTATCAACGTTGATTACAATGGTCAGCCCTAGCAGTGAATACATTCCGTCGCACAAAATGTACTAAATATTTAGTGCACTGACCTTATTAACAGATATTATTTATATATGGACCTTTCTGTCGGTTAATGATATTGCATGTAACCAAAGAGTGATTAGAGGGAGGAATATGGCGTTAACTAAATTTTGGGTACGTGTTTTTAGTCTATAGTATATTTGTTACATTTTTTAATATTTCTTATTAAATTAAATCTTATAATCTTAACATATTATCAAAGTTACATAATTCCACTATATTTTACAAAATGGTTAATATGGTTTAATGATCCAAAATTGTTAAAGTTATTATATTTCAATATTGCTATAAAAGTGATTAATATCATTCATGCTTTTATAGTGGTTAGTCTCATTCGTTCATTTCAGGTCGCCATTGCCTGCCACGCAGTGTTAATAGCCCTAAACATAGCATCAAGCAATAGCGTGAATGGCAAATACGAAATATTGTCATGCAGCCTTCAAAACAATGACATGGTCATCTCCGGTGGGCATCTAACAGTGAAATTAAGCAAAGATACATGGCAGCTTACTATTGAGTTCTCTACACAAGGTGTCACCAGGACCGTGCTCCTAAGTGTACCAGACCAGTGGGGTACACTGGGGGTGTCAAAGTGGTTAGGAATGGAACCCCATATTTATAATGGGTATTCGTGGCGCTTCATGCACCAGATAGATCGAATGGTAGTGAACAGTCTTATATCTTGGAATCTATCCGAGGACAAGACTCAAGCGTTTTTAAGACTAGGGACAAATTCATCTGAGGGGCACACCATTGGATTTGTCGTAGGTAATGTGACAGAGAATCAGGTGATGTTAAAGGCGGAGCTGTTCGATAAGAGTGGTTCTAGAGTTGTGCCAGAACCTGACAATCCCTTATGCCTAAATAGCATGAAAGCCGTGGGCGATGTCGTCTACGGATTGCTGATCCAGAATTTAACCGCGAAAGAAATTTGCGAGAAAGTACATTTTTGCACACATGGTAATCCCACTGCTACTATTTGCAACATTTGCATGGAAGTTCTCGATAAAGCTGGCAAACTGATCATCGATTTTATTCCATATCCGAAGCAAAACATAGAAGAAACATTTATGTCAATATGCACGTTGTCTGGCCAACTGCGCACGAGCATTGGGTTTTTAGCAAAGGAAAACGAGGGGTATTACGGGTTCGGTGTCCGATACAACGCTGTAAACCAAAGAGGACAATATGTGTACTCATGGGCTGAAGGCGGGGGCTGGGGGTTTACAATCTTTCCAAAAAATCGTTTACCTGATATGAATCCGACACAGACCTATTCACCATCCCCTTACTTTGTATCCTCCTCAGGATATGGCATATACATGAATACCTCTCTTCGCTCAAACTGGGACATGTGCAAAACACATAAAGAGGGGTATTTAGTAGAAGTTGAAGACACTTTGCTGGATCTCGTCGTTTACATTGGTGATGCAGCGTCCGTTGTTCGTGCTTACACTCATTCCACGGGTCGGTCTCTNTCTATGCGTTTTTTTTTATTCTATACTCAGCCTTGCCGTAGAGTTAAGAACTTGGTGAAAAACTCTGATACCGTTTTTTCTTTCAGTCAGCAAAAAGGAATAAACTACTAAAAGAAGACTTTGTTGAATTGATAGAAGAAGAATAAAAATAAATAAATAAATAAAACGCAAGCAAAAAATTAATAGTGCTAATAAATAAATAAATAAATGACAAAAAGACAAGCACAGACAAGTAAATTATGAAATTAAATGCAAAATAAGCATAGAGTATCGCTGAAGATAGAAAAAATAATAAAAATAAGAAAGAAGACATATTAGGGTGCAAAAAAGACTGTTTATAAAAATAACTTATTAATTGTACTAACTCATTACGTCGACACCAGTGAAAACATGAAGATAATAGCACTAGAGTTGGTTCAACAATGCTCTATATTTAGGTATCATATGATGTACAAGTTCCAAACGCATGGTGTATTATCAACGTTGATTACAATGGTCAGCCCTAGCAGTGAATACATTCCGTCGCACAAAATGTACTAAATATTTAGTGCACTGACCTTATTAACAGATATTATTTATATATGGACCTTTCTGTCGGTTAATGATATTGCATGTAACCAAAGAGTGATTAGAGGGAGGAATATGGCGTTAACTAAATTTTGGGTACGTGTTTTTAGTCTATAGTATATTTGTTACATTTTTTAATATTTCTTATTAAATTAAATCTTATAATCTTAACATATTATCAAAGTTACATAATTCCACTATATTTTACAAAATGGTTAATATGGTTTAATGATCCAAAATTGTTAAAGTTATTATATTTCAATATTGCTATAAAAGTGATTAATATCATTCATGCTTTTTATAGTCTCATTCGTTCATTTCAGGTCGCCATTGCCTGCCACGCAGTGTTAATAGCCCTAAGCATAGCATCAAGCAATAGCGTTAATGGCAAATACGAAATATTGTCATGCAGCCTTCAAAACAATGACATGGTCATCTCCGGTGGGCATCTAACAGTGAAATTAAGCAAAGATACATGGCAGCTTACTATTGAGTTCTCTACACAAGGTGTCACCAGGACCGTGCTCCTAAGTGTACCAGACCAGTGGGGTACACTGGGGGTGTCAAAGTGGTTAGGAATGGAACCCCATATTTATAATGGGTATTCGTGGCGCTTCATGCACCAGATAGATCGAATGGTAGTGAACAGTCTTATATCTTGGAATCTATCCCAGGACAAGACTCAAGCGTTTTTAAGACTAGGGACAAATTCATCTGAGGGGCACACCATTGGATTTGTCGTAGGTAATGTGACAGAGAATCAGGTGATGTTAAAGGCGGAGCTGTTCGATAAGAGTGGTTCTAGAGTTGTGCCAGAACCTGACAATCCCTTATGCCTAAATAGCATGAAAGCCGTGGGCGATGTCGTCTACGGATTGCTGATCCAGAATTTAACCGCGAAAGAAATTTGCGAGAAAGTACATTTTTGCACACATGGTAATCCCACTGCTACTATTTGCAACATTTGCATGGAAGTTCTCGATAAAGCTGGCAAACTGATCATCGATTTTATTCCATATCCGAAGCAAAACATAGAAGAAACATTTATGTCAATATGCACGTTGTCTGGCCAACTGCGCACGAGCATTGGGTTTTTAGCAAAGGAAAACGAGGGGTATTACGGGTTCGGTGTCCGATACAACGCTGTAAACCAAAGAGGACAATATGTGTACTCATGGGCTGAAGGCGGGGGCTGGGGGTTTACAATCTTTCCAAAAAATCGTTTACCTGATATGAATCCGACACAGACCTATTCACCATCCCCTTACTTTGTATCCTCCTCAGGATATGGCATATACATGAATACCTCTCTTCGCTCAAACTGGGACATGTGCAAAACACATAAAGAGGGGTATTTAGTAGAAGTTGAAGACACTTTGCTGGATCTCGTCGTTTACATTGGTGATGCAGCGTCCGTTGTTCGTGCTTACACTCATTCCACGGGTCGGTCTCTCATACCCCCTCCCTATGAATTCGGCGTCTGGATCACAGCTGCCGATGCTCTCCGTATAAATGGCACAAATAGATCAATCGATGCTGCGAATATCTTACTGAAAAGGGACATTCCGTATAGCATCGAATACGACGAAGTACAATTCTTGCCCCTTGGACAGCAAAGAGGACAAGAAAGTGCAATTCTGTCAAGAAACAAAGCTTTGAAAAAACTCGGTGTCAATCCTCTTGCCTACTACAACACAAGAGTAGTCACGAACTACAATCCTGTATTCGAAGATGCCGAAAAGAAGGGATACTTTGTGAAGTTCAACGGAAAGACAGATATAATTGCCTTCCGGACAGTGAGTTCTATCGTCCTAAAGGCTGCCGTGTTGGATTTTACGGCTCCTGGAGCCGTAGCATGGTACGGAAACCAACTAAAGGAATCGATTGACATGGGTTACTCCGGCTTCATGACAGACTATGGGGAAAATATTGACCCTGAATGTAGCTTTAATAACGGCCTGATGGGTAGGCAAATTCATAACAATTACCCAATACTGTACGAAAGCGCAGTGAAGACATTCTTCGATTCTATCGACACCGATCCCAAGGATGACTACGCTCCGCCGTATATCTTCTTTTGCCGATCCGGATACACAGGATCGGGTGCAGTTAGCTGGGCCCACTGGACTGGGGACCCTATGTCCGATTGGTCCCAGGACTCTGGTCTTCCCGCTCAAGTGCATGCCATGCTGAGCGGAAGCCTCTCGGGATTTCCATTCATAGGATCCGACATCGGAGGGTATGCGTGGATTGTCCCACCTAGTTTGGAGTTGTGGATACGCTGGTCACAGGTTGGTACTTTTTCCGGGATAATGAGAGCACAGGATGGCGGGGGCTCTCTGGCTGGGCAACCGAAGTCACAGATCTTTGACTGGCCCGAAGGAGAATTTGCATGGAGGAAACAGTGTAAACTTCGAATGGCGCTTTTCCCATACATCTACACCCAAGCACATATATCAAGGCGGGTTGGGATACCAATAATGAGACATCATATAATTAGTTTTCCAAATGACCAAACAGCAGTAAAACAAGACCAACAGTTCATGTTTGGACCAGCCTTCTTGGTGGCACCGGTTCTAAAAAAAGGGGATACTTCCCAAGACGTGTATCTGCCACAGGACACTAGCATGGCCCCGGCGCAAACTGAATGGATCGACTTCAATCACGCTGCCGAGTACGATAAAGCCACAGACGGACGCTTCCGTATAGGAGCTGGGCCTTTATTGCAAGGTAGCCAGACCAAACATGTGAACGCACCTTTAGAGGTGACTCCACTATTTGTCAGAGCAGGTATGACACATTGTCTTCCTTCGTAAAAGGCGTGAAAATTTTATCTATTATATATCAAGTGTTATGTCATTAAAGACCGTTCATCTTTTAATGTACGCAACATTTTCTGTAGGACTCAAGAATATTTAAGGATATCAAACAGTCTTAAAATACAAATTGAAAATAAGTTTTATGCCATCGTTTAATGTATTGTCTTTGTTTCTGCCTGAAGGTTCTGCAGTCCCAACCCTCGACCCAAGCGTATGGACACTAGGAAAATCAGCAGACCCTCGAGCAACGTCTTACAGCGACAGGTCCGACCTTTTCCACTGGTGGGTGTGGCCCAACGCAACCTTTGGTGCGACTGGGGAGGCGTGGGACGGCACCACAGTTTCCATGTATCCAACATCTAACCCCCAGAACAAGACTTTAACCGCCACCGTTCATATCGAGGATCCTGTAAACCGTCTGATGATATTTCAGATCGCCAATTCACTGGCTAATAACGCCGTGGTGAATGGGTACACGCAAGTTAAAAACTGGACTGCCTTGGTGTCTGTTGATATAAAATCAGAACCCGCGTGTGCTTATACCTATGACACAGTGAAAAGCGTGCTATGGGTACGCAGCTCTCCGTCTTGCCACGGGTACGGTGCAAATGCACCGAGTGGACGTACTTTCAGTATGAAATACACTTTAGTAAACTAAAAATCTTGTAATGCTCGTGGGTGATGGCAGATTTAAAGACATTTGATAATTCCCAGAATGTTCTATAATGATTAAAGAGATAATGTTTTTGATGTTAAATTATAGATTGTAGAGAGGAAATGTTTTTTGACAGCAAAGAAGTGTGTACGTACCCAATATCTCTATATAATGTTTGAGAATATACGTGAAAATAAATATCAGTAATTTAAATATGTTTTGCTTTTTTGTCGCAGTGGTAGACTATACTTCACATTTAAAGATCTAAATTAGAATAAATATGCATACAGGTCACTAATAGAATACAATTTCCTTAATCAACTGAAATTAACACTAGCAGAAGTATTAAGCCCTTTAACAACCAAAGAATATAACCTAGTCCTATATGCATAATGCTCTATTTCTAATTCTGCTAAAACACGAAATTCGAATTTAAATATAGACTTCAAAGAACTTTCAATTTTTTAGAGTTTTCCGTTTTGAAATCAACACAAAAGTATGTTCTAGCCCTTCTTAATTTAGGTCTGACATGGGCTTCGTGCCTCAAATCTGTATGTTTACCTGTGGCTGATAACGATATTGTATCTATACCACAAGCTGTATCTGCTGTGTCACCTCAACCAATAGAGGCAAATACTGCAACAGTCGATGAACCGTATTCCATTTATTAGATATAACTGTCCAACAGAGATGACAATAAGACTGAATTGTCCACGCACGAGGCTGTAATTGCCTAATTCTCATTTTCCTTCTTTCCGAAATGCACTTTGTTCAGACTGATGCGCGACGGACTTACCTTGCGATACAACCTCATTGAAAGTCCTAAGGTACAACTGCCATGCAACGTGTAAATATCATCTCCGTGTAAGGTCAGAGATACGGCGTAGAATACCATCAAATCAGAGGTCAGAAAGTAGTCTGTACCACGAGACAATTAGTTGTCTCTTAATAACATTACAGACCTTTTACGTACACTTCATTGTCCTTCATTGTCCTTCTACAGTGCGAAGATGGCAAAAGCAATGGCGACCGCTGTAGAACTGGTAAGGATTCAGAGTAACCCTAATATGATAACGGCTATTAAGGTTTTAGGGTTGCCCAGGGGTGGTGGCGGTAGCGGTGGTGGTGGCGTTGGTGTGTGTGAGTGGGAGGGGGGGTGGTGAGATTTCACCATTAATTCTTATCACAACAAAATTACGAAGGTTGCAACTACTGCCAGTCTCACGTATATTTTTTTATTCTCAAATCGGCATATTTATTAGACTTTTTCTGACTAAGTTCAAAAATCAATCCAGGGGATTATAATAACTCATTACACTCATCAGGTTTCTAGATTCTAAATAAATATTTTTCCATCTGAAGTAAACATCATTTCATGGATTTTCTCTCCTTATTCATTTTCAGATGATTTTTATTCTCTTATTATCCTTTGGCGGTCAAAGTCACGGCCGTCCTTACCAGCCTCTGTCGTGTAGCAAGAATGATGACCAAATTGTTATCACAGGAGGGCCTATGAAATTGGTATTCAACATACACACATGGCAAATGACGCTGGATAGCAATTCACAAAGAATACTGACAAGTGTGGATCAGCATTGGGGAGTTTTAGGAGTGACCACTTGGACGGGCATTGATATTCGGATATATAATGGATATTCGTGGCGACTGACCCAAGAAATAGAAAGGTTTGTCGCCCAGGAACTTTTGTCTTGGACATTGTCACAGGACAAAACCCAAGTTACAATGAAAATCAGCTCCAATTCAATCAAGGGCTACATATTCCATGTCACAGTTGGTAATTTCACTCTATCTCAAATTGGTCTGAAAGTGGAACTCTTCGAAAAAGATGGTTCTCGGATAGTTCCAGAACCAAGGAACCCAGCATGCCTTGACGACGCAAAAGCAGCTGGAGATATCGTTTACGACTTACTGCTGAAAAATCGAACAGCAGAGGACATATGTGAACAGGTGAAATTCTGTCAAAAGAACAGCACCAGGACAGTACAATGTCAGTTGTGTGTAGGCGCTGTTGACAAAGCTGGACAACTAATTTTAGAATTCATACCGAATCCAAAGCAAAATTTGGAGGAAACGTTCATGTCTACGTGCGAACTTACCGGCCAACTTCGCATAGATCTGGGGTTTCAAGCCCGGGATAAAAACGAGGGTTTCTACGGTTTTGGTGTGCGTTATAATGCTGTGAACCAAAGAGGAAAATCGCTGTACTCATGGGCAGAGGACGGGGGCTGGAGTCTTCGTGTTGCTCCAAAAGAGCGCCTACCCACGCTCAATCCAACAGAAACATATGCACCCATGCCGTTTTTCATATCAGCTTACGGATATGGCATGTACCTCAATACTACGTTCAGATCAACTTGGGACATGTGCGAGACCCACAGAAATGATTACCTCATCAATGTTGAAAATACGGTCTTTGACCTTACAATATATATAGGCAGACCCAGCGATATTCTGTCCATCCACTCTTATTTTGCAGGGCGGGCACCTGTTCCGCCGCCCTTTCAGTTTGGCCCGTGGTTAACAGCTGCTGATGCACTGCGTATATCTGGACCAAACAGGACGATAAGAGCGGCAGAGATCCTAAGATTGCGCGACATCCCGTTTACAATCGAATACGACGAAATCCGGTTCTTTCCCCTTGGGGAACAACGAGGACATGAAAGTGAAATTCTTGCTACCAACAAAGCTCTTCGCGATCTTGGCATCTATGCCCTGGCTTACTACAATAGTATGCTGGTCACTGACTACAGTCCATTATACAACGAAGCAGTTGCTAACAACTATTTAGTTAAATTTAGGAACAATACGTACACCTTTACCTTTAAGACAAAGACTACACGTGTTCTGAAGGTTGGGCTGTTGGATTTCACAGCACCTGGGGCTGTCGACTGGTTCGGAAAACAGTTACAGGTGGCTCTAAATTTAGGGTTTGTGGGATTTATGGTAGACTATGGAGAAAATGTTGATCCAGAATGTAGTTTTAGCAATGGCATGACAGGAAGAGAAATGCACAATCTGTACCCAGTCCTTTACCAGACTGCTGTCAAAACAATCCTCAACCGCTTATCAAATGAGTCAAACTTTCGTGCTTTGCCACCAGGTTACTACGCACCGCCGTATACACCATTTTTTCGTTCAGGTTACCTTGGTTCTGGTGCCGCAACCTGGGCCCACTGGACTGGAGACCCAATGTGTGACTGGTCCCAAGACTCAGGTCTGCCTGCCCAGGTGCACGCCATGTTGAGTGGGAGCCTATCAGGCATACCCTACATTGGCTCAGACATTGGAGGCTTTGTCTGGATAGAACCCCCAAGCATGGAGCTCTGGATAAGGTGGACACAGGTGGGAACGTTCTCTGGTCTAATGCGCTCCCAGCAAGGGGGGAGTTCACTCTCTGGAAAACCTAAAACTCAAATCTTCGATTGGCCCGAGGGAGAATTTGCCTGGAGAAAGCAGAGTAAACTTAGAATGGCTCTTTTCCCCTATATCTACAAAGCGGCACACTTTGTTCAAGATGGTGGCATACCAATCATGAGGCACCACATTCTCAGTTTTCCGAATGATCCAGTTGCCATCAGTCATGATGAACAGTTTATGTTTGGTGACGCTTTTCTTGTGGCCCCCGTTCTGAAAGAACGAGCCATTTCGCAAATCGTTTATCTTCCAAGAGAACCGCCTATAGGGATGTCTAAGACTGAGTGGATAGATTTTAATTATGCAATATATGACAATGCAACAAATGGACGTTTCCGTATCGGTACAGGGCCATTCCTAGATTGTGGTCAAACCAAGTTAGTGAGCGCTCCCTTGGAAACAATACCTCTTTTCGTTAAAGCAGGTATGGTTTTCTGTAGTTATTGAGTTTAATTTTGTTTCCTTATGTTTTCTAACAGATGTGAAACCCACTTGCATATTCCTACTGTATGCTAGTAAGAACCAAGATCTTAAACGCATTTAACTGCACAGAACAGTTGTTTGAATAACAGCAGAAAAAGACCTAATCCTCTTTTAACTTATTCAAACATATACTGGACAGTACAGATACATTGGTGAATCCTGTAAGGTCATTTCCATTCTTTTGAATGTATTGCGCTTAATCATGCTGTTATACTTTGTACGATTTTATATTTAGGATCTGCTATTCCAACATTGGATCCGTCTGTGATGACACTAGAAAACCACGCAGTATCATTGACATCCCCGCCAAACAGTATCAACCCCCTACACTGGTGGGTGTGGCCAAACTCGACGTATGCGGCCAGTGGAGAACTGTGGGACCAATCTTTGGTCTCGATGGTTCCAACCAGTGATCCTTTCAACAAAACCAGAGTAAGTGCACGTGTGCACATTACAGACACAGTAGGGCGTTTAATGATATTACAAATAGCAGTTAATGCTCAGTCGGCAATGGTAACCGGTGAAGGTACAGATACCTTTGTTCATGTAAAAAACTGGGACATGCTCGTTAATACAGATGTAGATAAAGATCCGAAGTGCGCGTTTTCTTACGACACGGCTCAGCATGTTCTTTGGGTACGTGTGTCAACCCACTGTAATGAAACTGGACCACCGCCAGTGTGGCGTGAGTTTGATGTATTGTTTGTCTTATAGTTTTAAAGGTATAAATTGACTTTTATGTGCCGGTTTAATTTTAATTATTTTACATTACGTGATCCACTCATTACTTGTGGTTATGTATTTAAGTCCTTAATAATAATAAAGCTATTTAATAAAACTACCCTAATGGAAATTAGTAATTTCCCTTTTTCTATAGGCAGGACAGATTATCTCCCGCTGTTTCAAATTTTGACGAGCAACCTCAGTGTACCGCAATCTTTTCAGTGTAAAAATATCCAGTTTGTTTCTGCGTTCAATGTAAATTCTAAGGTGGATTTGAACATTTTTCGTTAAAATATACAAAATATTATGGTAAAACCAAAATGTTACTTTCATTACAACATTGTGATTTTTACAAATCCAAAGAAAGATTACACAATGCGAACAAACAAAAAAATTAAACAAATTATGCCAAAAAGGTGTTTATGTTCGTTTTAGTGGTGCATGTACTTACTCATCGCCTCTTTGCAGGTGGTTTCCTAGGTGGAGGATCATCGTCATCTTCACTGTCATCATCATCATCATCAGGCGGCGGGGGTTTCTTAGGAGGCGGTTTACCTTTACTCTTTGGGGGAGGGGGTTCATCTTCCGATTCAGTTTCGTCGTCATCCGCCGGAGGTGGGGGTTTCTTTTTATCCGGTTGTTTTTTAGGTGGAGGAGGTTCATCCTCCGATTCAGTTTCGTCATCATCTGCCGGAGGTGGAGGTTTCTTTTTATCTGGTTGTTTTTTGGGTGGAGGGGGTTCATCCTCCGATTCAGTTTCATCATCATCATCCGCCGGAGGTGGGGGTTTCTTTTTATTGTCCGGTTGTTTTTTAGGTGGAGGGGGTTCATCCTCCGATTCAGTTTCGTCATCATCTGCCGGAGGTGGAGGTTTCTTTTTATCCGGTTGTTTTTTGGGTGGAGGGGGTTCATCCTCCGATTCAGTTTCATCATCATCCGCCGGAGGTGGAGGTTTCTTTTTATTATCCGGTTGTTTTTTTGGAGGAGGGGCTTCGTCTTCTGAATCCTCTTCGGAATCTTCCGGAGGCGGTTGTTTCTTCTTCGGAGGTGGTGCTTCTGACTCGTCATCTTCTGAATCAGGCGGTGGTTTTTGATTCTTCTTTGGAGGAGGGACCTCTGTTTCGTCGTCGTCTTCTGAATCTGGTGGAGGTTTTTGCCCTTTTTTCTTTGGGGGCGGGGCTTCTGTTTCGTCATCTGAGTCGGGAGGTGGTTGTTTCTTTTTAGGGGGTGGAGCTTCTGATTCGTCATCTTCTGAATCGGGTGGTGGTTTTTGACTCTTCTTCTTAGGAGGAGGCGCTTCTGTCTCGTCATCGTCTTCTGAATCGGGTGGTGGCTGTTTTTTCTTTGGCGGTGGTGCTTCTGACTCGTCGTCCTCCGAATCGGGTGGTGGTTTTTGGTTCTTCTTAGGAGGAGGCGCTTCTGTCTCGTCATCGTCTTCTGAATCGGGTGGAGGCTTTTGTCCTTTTTTCTTTGGTGGTGGTGCTTCTGTTTCGTCATCTGATTCGGGAGGTGGTTGTTTCTTTTTAGGGGGTGGAGCTTCTGATTCGTCATCTTCATCTTCTGAATCAGGTGGTGGCTGTTTTTTCTTCGGAGGTGGGGCTTCTGATTCGTCTTCTGACTCGGCTGGAGGTTGTTTTTTCTTTGGAGGCGGTTTTGTATCGGATTTATTTTTGGTTGGGGCAGTTGTCTCTTCTTCTGAATCTTCTGGTGGTGGTTCTTTTGCCTTTTTCTTGTTCTTTTTTGGCTCAGTTACTTCAGTTTCTGGTTCAGACTCATTTTCCGCTTTTTTGTTGTTTTTCTTTTTGGGTGGTGCTGATACAGTTTCATCATCTGAGGGCGGGGCTTGTCGTCTTGCTCCGGCTTCAGCGATACCCGCTGCTGCCACGTCCGCAACATCTACTGGCACAGTAGTGCTCTCTGACGGCGAAGGTGAGCGGGCCTCCTTCTTGCTCGCCTTTTTCTTGCCTTTCATCTTGTTTTTGATTTTGTTCCACCTATGTTGAATAAAAATTATATTTGTAACATTAAGGTTTATTTTTGATGAATTCATCTGCCTCAAATGTATCTACAACGGTAATTCTATCTATCTATCTATCTATCTAAGATGATGTATCTATCTATCTATATTACATATGTATATCACTTTTGCAAACCTAGCACTAATTTTGACGGTTGAACTAGAGCAAATATAACTTATCTTCACGTATGAAGATAAGGTATTTTCCTATCCTCTATGTTGTCACACTTGTTCCTATAAAAATATTGCTTTCTGCAAATGGAATGACTTGCTGTTTCTATCACAACCTTGCATGATTCAATACCTATTTCTTATGTGAGGGTAATTCGGAGCTATATTGCCTAAATAACTCCTCCAGCGCTAACATTTTAAACGGGAAGTGAAAGTGATTTTCCCTTGTCGAGAAATTCGGTTTATGGATATGAGCAAAAGAGTGCCTAGATTTTGTACAGAGTACTTACTTGATAATTAAGATGGTGCGAATAAATATTGATTTTTATTTAAAAGTTGCGATTTTAACTTTAAAATCAACACTTAAAGCAAAATACTTTGGCACCTTGAACTCTACATTGAAAACCAACATTTTTTCATGATCTGATATTGTCTTCTGTGGTTCAGATCATTTCAACTATATCAAATTCGTTTTAAATCATAAAGCATTTAATAAATATAATTTCAATTTTTTACTCAAACTGGGTAAGAGTAGATACCCTTTAACAGATTACCCTCTATGAATAAATATTTTTATTAGCATTTTTACCACAATATTTTATAAAACAACATCTCCCAGTCAGGTTTATTTTACAACAAAATATAAATTTTAGGTAATTTAAATGACCAAAATATTCGGATCTGATTGGTATTTTGAAAGTCCCCATTGAAGTTAATTTGCCACTGAGATGGTCTCAATAGGGTGAGTGCTTGGTGCAAAATGATCCATTAAAAGATTTAGACGTTTTCGGTACTTCCCCATTCATCCAAAGCAATGTACATCAATTTCCTATATTTATTATGGTATCCCATTCCGACCAAACAAAATATATTGCATGCTCTTTCTGCGATATATTTTGACGTTTTTGATACTTCCCCATTCATCCAAATCCAAATTGTACCTAAAGTAATTTCCTACATTAATCATGGGATTCGATTCTGCCCAAACAAAATACATCGCAGTCTCCTTCCAAGATAGGAATCTACTGTGTGATCCCCGTTTTATCCCTCATCCCCTTTACGTTATGATACCAATTTTGGAAAATCTAAATTTTTAATTTTGTCAATAATTATTTTTAAAAAATCATCCGAATGTATTCTCTTGTTGAATATTATTTTAAAGAATTTTCATTGTTTGATCTAGTGTAGAAAATTTAAACAACTATTTTATTGCTTGTCTTTAGTTAATGTGAAGTTTAGGTAAGATACAAAAATATGATCACATACAAACAAAACAATAAATAGAGACTATAAGAGAAAGTTTATTCAGCGAATAAGAGCTTTAAACAAAACAAAAATGATGACAAGAAATAAGCAACAAAATGCAGTTGACACAATTTAGAAAATGATTAGCATAGAAAAATAGATGGACGGAAATACATGTAAACAATGTGAATAATGAAATAAAAGTTCATTATATTTCATAAAAATTATATTCACTAAAGGGAATCACTAGAGTTTATACTAAAGAATAAAAATAATACAATTTTACATACACAATGCAATAGAGAAAAAATTAAATAAAAACATTACATTCTGGATATCAAAATCCTAAAAGCACCACATATCAAAAACCAATGGGGTTTTCGAATCAAATATTTACAAATATACAAATTAGTAATATTTCTTACTTTTAAATGGTGACAAAAATACCATTTCAATTCATCACAGTCTATTGTTGGAAGGATTTCTCAACCATAAACAACTTTATCAAAAGTTAAGTTTATGATAATAGTTTAGTTCTGTTCAGTGACATTACTCTACTTATAGAAGCAGTAATTGTTTTTTCAGTAAAAAAAAAAAAAAAACTAAATTAATAAGGAAATGTCAAAGGTCAATTATTCAAATAGTGCATTTTGTTTCTTTGGTTTATCTCCATGGCACATGAAAAAAAGATAAAAATAATAAGGAATGTCATAGTTGTGACTGGCATATCCCAATCCATTATTATCTCCACTATGTGTAAGTACACATACTATATGTTAACAGCACTTTCAGCCTGATATGTACACAGCTTGACAGACTTCAGTGTCAAAGATACTCAGATACAGTATATAAATAAGACAAGCTGTACCACGGCAATATCAATGTCTTACTTGTTATGCACAAGCAATTTTGTTATAAATACAGGGCATAGCGCTTTTAATAACACCGATACTTTCTAGCGCTTGGGAAGCTCACTGCATGGTCTCAATTAGAACAAAACATGGCATGTTACTATAGGATACGTGTCACACATGAAACAATTTGAAATGGAAGTCAAGTTTGTGGACTTAGTCAGATGAAATCAATTGATTTTGCTACCAAGGGGGGTCTGGGTCTTTGGCAGGGTCTTGTTGACTCTGCTGTGTCTTATCATTATTGCTTCCTGTCTTATCAGCCCCAGTGTTGTCAACACCCTGACTATTACTACTATCTGCTGGAGACGTGTCAGTCTTTTGTTGTGAGGCAGAACCATCTTGTTCACCCTCTTTATTGGTGCCAGGCTCTTTCTGACTACTTGAATTATTATCATCTTCCTCAAACGGAGCTTTAAACAAGGAGGGAGGGGACTGGTCTCCTTTATTATTGTTCTCATTTTCACTACCCTCTTTGCCTTGTTGTGGTTGTGGATTGTTTTCTGTGGGCAAGGGTTTGGATAAGTCCCTGTCTGATGCTCTTTTCCACCTGCCATATAACAGAGTGGTTTTCCACTGCATCCACCTAGACACATCATGGAGTACACAGGAAAGAAAGAGAGAAAGTAAGACACATAATGACATCACATGAGATAAGACAAAAATAAACGAATACAGCAATATAACTATAAAATAAAACTCAGGTGGAATTCACAAAAGTCTTAAATTAGAATAAAACAACAAAAATTTTTTTAAAAAATTTATGTACAACATAAATGAAAAATCAAAAACAATAATGATGAACATTCATATAACTTACATATTCAAAAATTAACAAAAAGGTTAAAGAAAGTTTTTGGTAAGAAATAAATAAGTTAGTAGATCACCATAAAATAAGTGGTGAGTATGGTGATGAAGAGAGCTGACACACAATGGTTTATGTTCAAATGGTCCATTTGCTAGGAGATGATCCTAAATTTCAACACCCAAAACAACCATCAGCAATAACAGCCCCTTCTTTTTATAGCTACGTGTATTACGTGAATTTTATAAACCATATTTCAATGCCAAACTTAAAAATATTTCTCACAAAGGTTCTTGAAAATTAAGAATTAGTACAAGTCTTTATTGTATAAATCAATTAAGTTAAAAGTTGCCAATAGTTGCTTGTTTTTTAGCAGAAAACAAAAGTATCTAAAAACATTTTTTCTTACATTTGCGATTGCCACTTTTCAATTTGTGCAATGTCTATGACGTAAGCACATTTTAATGTCTCTAAAGTACAAAAACCTGCAGTATACAATTGGATTAGCATGCCCCAGTTTAACATTTGCCAATATCAATTAATTCTGACAAAATACCAATATTGAAGAACAAATCAGTTAGATCCGTCATGAGTAACCCCACTGTTTCTATCATTAGAGGAATGTTTGTGTTTGGCTAAACATTCACTGTATGTTAAGTTGCACATTGGCACAGAGATTATCAAAATCATTTTTATTTGCTGAGAGCTTTTATAGAAACTTTCATTAAATATTTCTGCCTGGCATCACACATTTTTTAAAAGAAATTTTCATTAAATATGCCTGCCTGACATCACATAAATTTAAAGAATTACTGTTTTTTTACTGTTCATATGACCATTTTTACTCTTAAATAAATGTCTTATAAAATATGTCCAAAAGACACATCTTAGTTTCCTTCAATCAAAACAGCAAAAGTCATCAGAACTTTTTTTTCAATTGTAAACATTACAAGATAATAAAAAAATATCTTACATGTGTCATCATGAAAGGTTTGTGAACTTTTCTGATAAAAAAAATCACATGCACCATACATAATCATCAAAAAATAATTATTCTATCAGCAAGAGAACAGAATCACTCACTTGTATGCAGAATACACGCCCCAGCGGTTGACAGATGAGGCCTGGCTTTCCGCCTCCTCTTTACTAGCCCCCGTAGGTTTAACAAACACTTTGGGCTCAGAGCCAGATGTTAATAGAGGGTCTACCAAACCACGCAGTCGGTTAAGTTCATCCTGTAAGTTTTTCACTTCTTCCACTCTCTAAAAACCAAGTGCTAGTATTAGTTCTATATTAATGTTAGTGTTTCGCAAAAGTGCAAAAATTACCAGAGGCAGCACACACAGCCATTTTGTTGAATTGCTTCAGATGATGTGGCAAGTCAGACTAGGCATTTTTTTTTTTTTTTTTGTCTTTTGTTTTGTATAATATTTATCAAACAAAACTCTCTGATCTGTCCCCACCATAGCCTGATTATTGTTTAGCAATGTTAGCACAAGGAGATCCTAAGCTCTCCCTCACCTCCTCAGTGGCATTATGAAAACAACTAACAGAAAATCAGCAATTCAACAAGTGACATGTATCTGACTTCTGGTAATTTGAAATATTATGCTTTCACATTATTCATGAATATTATCATGCAATGGCAACGTAATCACACTGATTAGAGCTGCCAAGTGCTGGTAAAGATAAAATAACACTCTCAGTGGGTTAGTATGGCAAATGTATATGTGATTTCACTGAAAATAGAATAGTTAATCTGCAACTTGTGAACTGCCCTAAAAGAAACTAGAAAAAAAAACTAACATTAGTTCTAGTGCACAGCAAATAATTCCAAGGCAAAACCAAGAGAACTGTGAGGTATGATGTGTTGTCCTTCAGTTGTCATCTGTGCCACACTAACAGGGTCAAGTGTCCATAATTATAAAGGTCTCTAGCACTACAAGTAAAGTATGTTGCTAGGAGTAAGGTTCATCATCATGCTACGTATCAAGGTGTTACTGAGTTATCATCACACACTTCATGAGGAACACTGTATATAACACTGTTGGCCATGCAGTGGAGAAACAATATCTACTGGAATGGCGGTGCAGTTCAAACACTGGGCCCATGCTGTGCATTATTCACCTTCTTTATACAGACTTCCTACGGTAATAGTTCTAAAACCCATCTTCCTGGGCTTTATTATGGTCTCCTCCACCAGCATTGTTGTCACCACTTGGGTTGTTATTATTACCACCCTCTGCAGGCCCCTGCCCAGAGCCTGGACGACTGCCACCACCACCATCCTTAGTGGGTGGTTCCTCTGGCTTATTTTCTTCTCCCTGTTGAAGTGGTGGATTATCTCCTTCCTTCTTGTCTTTATCCGGCTTGCTATCATCTTTGCCACTGGCATCATCTGGGCCAGAGTCTGGGTCCTTACTGGGTTCATTCTCATCCTTGCCTTCATCTTTATCATTTTCATCATTATCCTCATCTTTATCTTTATCCTCATCCTTTTGATCTTTGTCCTCTGGGTCATTTTCACCTTTTACACCATCGGTTTTATCTTCATTTTCTGTAAGATTTTCTTTAGACCCATCTGTTTTGTTTTGACTTTCGTCATCAGGTTTGGTTTTATTTTTGCTGCCATCATCATTATCATCAGTATTATCATCCTTTTCTGGCTCCTCAGGAGCTACAGACTCTGCTGGCTTTGGAGAGGGGGCAGCTTGGGAACCTGCATCACCTAGTGGTGGTTTAGGTGTTGCAGCATGACTTGCAGATTTTGGTGGAGGTGGTGTGGGTTGCAGTGGCGTGTGCTGTCTGCTTTGAATGGGAGTGTGTCTCACAGACTTGGGCTGCTCTCTTGAGGGAGGGACAGGACTTTGTGGAACAGAATTTTGATGTTTGGGCTCATGAGTTCCCTCCCTGCTGTCCTTTGCAGGGGGTGGTGGGATGAATAATGGCTCATTCCAATCTGGGGGTGTCTCAACCCTATCTATGTGGGGCTGAGGAGAATCTTTCAGTGTTTCTTGCAAAGACCATCTGTACACTTGTGCTTTGAGACGATCGATTTCTCTTTCCATAGAAGCTATGCTTGTTTCTCTCTAGGGTGGTAAAGTTATAACAAATTGGTACATAGTAATAAAATATCTAAAACTGAAACATAGTTTATATAGGTTGTCATTATTACTTTTAATATGAAAATGTCTATTTGAACAACTTATTGATGTACTTAATAAAATGTATGTAAATTACACACGGCATAAAATGTATGTAAATAAAAACAAGTTAAATTTCAAATATCTCTGCAAAAATGGTTAAGAATATGTCAAAAACATATCAATCCATCACATCTGAAATGGAGTCAAAAATTAAATGATACGTAAAAGAGAATAGTACCTGTCCAAAACTTCTTTTATAATAATAAATCTAACGACATATACTAATATACAAATAAATGGATGATAAGTCATATGCAGTTAATACATTTCTATTCTTCCCATATATCTTTGATAAAAGTAAAATGAACAATTCCACCTTCATCCTAAATAACTTTGTCCTCAAATGGATTGTAAATCAACCTACCAGCTTAGACTCTGTGGCTATCTTCATGCCAAGGACTGTTTTAATGGTCTGAACTGACTCTGCTAGCTTGTGAAGACTCTCCTGGCACTGAGGGAACAAACGGTGAGAAATGATAGCTCAGAAATATTTCAGTTCATATAAATTTATCTGGTCAAAATATTTCTTTTTATACCAGCATTTGATTAACTGAATATTTGTGTACATGAAAGTCAGAGCGGTTAAATTAAGATTTACAATTGTGCATTTGTTCCAATATATTTTATTTTTAATGTGTCTCAATAATTCAACACAGTCCTTTTAAAAACAAAAACCTAAGGAAAGGTAATGATAATGAGAATCAAGTCAACACTACACCAGGCAAACCATAAAATATATGAAGTAAGACAGAGCATAAAAGCAATCGTCATTCTGATAAACTAGATCATCTTAGCAGGTAAATTTATTTCCAGGTAAAGCATTGAGTATACACACTTATAGAGGCTGTTACAAACAAAAAGAACAAAAGATGAAAAAATAATAATAATGGTAAATAATAATAAAAAAATCACTATCAACAGGTTACATTCATAATTATCAAATAGTATAGAACAAAAGTATATTGTACAACAATTAATAAAATGAAAATAAAGTGAACAATGATCACAGTCCACAAACCTCATCAATATCCTCTCTCAGCTTGTACTTTAAAAAACATTCAAATAAATGCAACATCCATGTTTCTCTTACTAAAGCAGTTCAACTGCATACTAATACTAATATCTCAAAGATCTTAATTCTGTAATCAATTTCTGTGGTCATACACAGGGGTGGATCCAGACATATTTTCTGACAGTCTTCCAGATTTTCTTTGTTAATTCGTCCTTAATTTTTGACTGTCTTCCGACAGAAAAAATTAGATACCCCTCAATGTAAACTTAAAAATCTGACCGTCTTCCGGAAGACCCAGAAGACGGCCTAAATCCGCCCCTGATACAATAACATCAATCTACAGACCTCAACTGTATACCATAAAACCATTTTTTCATATTTTCCATTCCTTTAATTCAGGCCAAAAGTAATATTTGATGAATCATCTAATACAAAAGTGAGTACTCACTGCATCAAAGTCACTCTTGGTGGCAGTCTTGTCTCCAGCCAGACCTTTACCAGGAGCAGCCACTAGCCTGGACAGATCACGCCTAAGGTTTTCAACATCTCGCTTCCTGAAATAATGACAGCAAATATCTTTAATTTCATAATGCTGTACCTGTTTTTTTTCCAGGAAAAAATCTACCAGTTTTCTCCATAATTTTGACATACTTTGACAACTAATTCCATTGTTTTCATCTTACCATCAGTGTTAATAATTCTTCCTTCTAATTTTCTCCATAGAACAAACACTAGACTCGAAACATATTTTTTCTTCTCACACCTCCATTGCTTGTATACAATGAATTTCTGTGTTGTCACATTAATACTGTACCTGGACTCTGCCTCTGCAGTCACTTTCCCTGTCAAGTCAGACTTCAGCAGTTCATGTTTTTCCTGGAGCTGGTACACCTGAATATAGGCAGCAAGTTTACAATTCAAGTCTTTCCAAATAGATTTGGAATTTAGTTGTGTGGGATCACATTTAGAAAAAAGTTACATACAGGTTAATATCTAGGTATAAAAACTAACTTTTTTCCATTCAGCCCTTTTTACAATCAATTGCATGTGCACCATAAAAGTTTTAATGCAGTTGGAAATTACAAGAGAAAAGCAAAATACATGGTGAATTATGATGCTAAATATGAAAATTCCTGCTCTTAATAGTCTAACACGAATAAAAAGGGTACAAAAAACAGTATGCCTAAAATCAAAAGTGGCTGTAATAAGATTGCAGGGTGAAGCAAAGTTATAGGAATGTGGCTGTTGTATAGAAAAAAGAATGAGTTGACAACTTGAATAAAGGCAATGCCTGAAAAATTTTAGAGACATGTATTCAAGCAAGATGGTATCGAAGCTCAACCCAATTGCCAAACTCACTTCCATTGGTAATTCCTGTACTTTATACTGGATATCTCGTATGCTCTGAGAGGTGACGTCTTGCCATAAAGAAATGGACTCAACCTTGTCTCTCATGTTTTGAGCCTGAGCAGCAGAAGACTACAGGGAGAAGAGGAAAGTTAAGCACACAGGGTAAAGGACACATGATAAATAAAATAAGGAGAAAATTGAAAAGTTCAAAACATTTTGCCACACATTCTAGAACAAAATTAATATTGTGTAGAAACTGTCTGAAACATAAAACAGAGCGGTTGCCAGGGGAGTTATCTTCAATGAGATACATTTTTTTTAACAGAGAACAATCCTTGTTTTCTTTTGAAACTACATATGGCAAAATGTTTTAGATATCGACAACAAATACCCACAGGAAAAAAAGAAAGGAAAAAACATCAACTATGATACAATGTGAAATTTGTCCAAACCTCCTGGATATAATTTTAAGTGCAGCTTTTATTATATGCTACAGTGTGTTCATTATCCATAAGTGTTGGTTTGGATTTTCAAACCATTTGAAAACAACATGTACTCTACCTTCTTCTTGGCTGTATGTAACATGAAAATCAATTCAATATTTTCAGTTTGGACAATTTCACTTGGATCTCAAACAGATATTACAGGATTTAAATAATAAGAAAGATGGGAGCCCACAAAGTACCATGCAGGAAGTTCAAGAAAACATTAAATTAATATTAATCAATCTACCTGTTTATCCAGTTCCTCCTTTAAGACAGCAGAAAAAAATTCAAATAAGACACGGTTAATCTTTGAACAAAACAGTTACAAATAATGTTTTTGTAGTTACATGTATATCACAGCAATTACTCCATAAATTCTATAAGTTGTAGACATGTTAATGTACAAGCAGGTTTCCAAATTTGTATTAATAAATCTTTTGCAACAAGATATGCTTGTGTACATTAACAGTCATCAGCCCTATAAAACTTATGGAGTTACAATTGTACTGCAGCACACTGGAGACATTAACCATGCCCAAATCACTGTCCATGTAGAACAGCAACATGCACACTTGGCAATGTCCATCACCTGAAACGGAAAACCACCACTGCAACCAGACCTAATAAAAAAGTAATGTTAGTCATAATCACTCCAGAAACCCTGTCATTCACCAACTTACGCCTGTGATTTTAGCTTCAAGTGAATCCTCTACATTGGAGATCTTGGAGTTAAGGCCTGTGACCCTGGTGTCAAGGTCAGCCATTAGACGGGTGTTTTTCTGGGCCTCCTCTTCTGCTATGCTCTTCATTTCTTTCTTTAACTGTGAGAAGAATGCACAACACATTTACCAATATGAAAACAGGCCATTTCAAATAACTTAATTTTAACCTAAAAATATTTGAAGGCCTCAGTATCACTAATAAGATTGTATATGCAAGGCTGTAAAAATTTCTATTGTGAATCATAGTACTTGTTGAAAGTTGGGTTGAAATTACAGAAGAGATTCTGACCTTCAATTTTTCACCAAAAGAATAAAATGAGTAAAAAGAGAAACAGAAAAATAGTACTGAGGCAAATAAACGTTGCACAGAATTTCAGCTGAACTGCTGACACACATATAGATATAATACTAAAAATCTAGAAATGTAAAAAGTCGATAAACAAACTGGAAAAGATGACAGTACAAAACTTTCATGCAATAAGTCTGAAATTTCACAAATGATCAAGATCAGAATGCACTTTCTTATAGGAGCAGCATGCAATAATAAAGGACCTGAAAAAGAAAAGTAAGAAGATAACCATGAAACAAACTAATACAGAATAAAATTGTCACACAGGTGAATAATGGTTAAAATGTTACAGTAAACAAAATTTCAATTCACTATATTCTCATGTAATTACAGAGAGAGGTGTAAAAACAACACAAGAATGTACTCCAACTTAATTACTTTCTTGTCCACTCTCTCAATAGTCTTCTTCATTTCCTCAATCATTTCAGCCTGGGAACAGAACAGATACCTGGTCTAAATATCACCTCCTACTGAGCTTAATATGTTCAGTTTTTTTTAAAACTCTGACAGCCAAGTTAACTATAAAAACAAACAATACTTTTATTTTGCTCCCTGTCTGCATACTGATTATGATTATCATTATTATCAAGCAAGGCATACTCTAAGACATACATGTATCTGCCTATATGCTATTAAATATGGAACTGGGCACACTATAATTCACTGACTATTTAAAAATTAAAATCAGTTGACAATGCTCATAGGTACTATCACTCAACTAATGTGTCTCAATTTGACTTCAGAATTAACTTACTGCAGCCTTAGCCTCAAGATTTCCTTCAAGTTGTGAAATCTTATCATGAAGGTCTGATAAGGCTTTACCACTTCTCTCCTGCTCATCTTCAGTTATCTTTGATATCTCTCGATTAAGCTAATAAATAAATACAGCTTAAATATCATCTTTTTTCTTAAATTTGAATGTCAAAACTCTCTTTATTTTGCTGTAAATGTAAAGTTTATTTTCAAAACACATAAACACAAATTATATATATGTAACAAATGCATTCACTGGTTGTAATGTAACTTTTGAGTGAAATGAGAAATATTCTAAGCTTCAGGCATCACCATAAAATAATTCATACAGTATATCATAAAAAAGTCATGAAAATATGCAAAGATGGGGCACTGATTCTGAAAGTTGTCAAGTTAAATTTATCTTCATTCCTTAAAAGAAACATATCAAAAACACACCACACCACTCATATAAACAAAGTATATCTATATACACCTTTCCTTCCAATTTTTTCTCCAGTTCTGCAATTTTCTCTTGTAAAGTATTATTGCTCTTTTCTTGTTCATCCTCAGACATTTTTGTCATCTCTGTCATCTATAAAAAGTCCCAATAAAAAACCCATAAACCAAAGTATAGTAACTTCTAGGCACTGATTCTACTCAGGGTGTCTAACTTCAATTGTTTTTTGTAGCTCCTAACCACATTTTACTTGTAAAATCTAAAAACCTAACTTAAACCCCCCCCCCCCCCCCCCAAGCCGTATTTTCATTATGCTACTGTTACTTTATGCTACGCCATTAATTTCAAGCTGCTGAAGAACCATTGCATAAATTCCAGAAGCACATTCACACACCTTTCCTTCTAAATGTTCCTCCAGCCTAGAGATTTTATCATGGATACCTAGCAAAGTTTTAGTGCTCCTCTCTTGCTCATCCTCTGCTACCTTAGTCAATTCCTTTCTCATCTGATTGAAAGATTCTTACATTAATATTTCTACAAGTTACCTTTACGTTATACAGTGACCCTTTTTTAACTTTAATCATTAATTTGATAAAGTTTACATGATGATTGCAAACCCAGTTATAATGAAATCACTGAATAATGTCTAAAATTGTTACATTATTTTAAAACATATTATGTAAAATAATCACTATATTTATCTAATCAAATTTCTAAGTTTCATACATAGTTATTATCTTTTTTTATTTCATTAATATATCATAACTCTATATTGTTCTCATTTCAACTTCATCACTTCAAATGCATGCCAATCTGGTCAATCTCTCAAATCTATCTACTACATGTAGTAAAGTCTGAGTGTGATGTGAGAGAAAAGAGTAATGTCTGAAATAAAATAGGAAAAAAAACTTAAAACAAAAGCTCTAAAACTAAATATAAATCACAGAAAATTATAATGTCTTTAAAATAGAATAATATCGCTCAAATTATTTGAAAAATTGATAGTAAATGGAACTGAAGTCTGAATATAGGACAGTATAACTGACCAACCTTGTGACAAATCCACACACAGATGTAAAACCTCACTCCTGTTTTATAATTGAGTATTTTTTAATGAGAATTAGATGACTACATTCCCTAGACATGCTTAGAAAAGAATCACCATTACTAAATCATGCATGCTGCAAGCCAGGGGGCACCTGTTTTAACAATTTTTCCCTAAGCTGTACAATTTCATCTTGCAGATCTGAAAGCATCTTGCTTTGTTTCTCTTTCTCTTTCTCTGCAGCCTCAATGAGTGTCTGTTTCTCTCTTAGCTGTGAGATTTCAGAGTGCATATCAGACAGGGCCTTACTATGCCTCTCCTCCTCACTCATAGCAGCCTGTTGCACCTCCTGCTTTAGCTGTGTGTGACAAGGATAAAATATCTAGGAACAGCTTTGAAACTCCTTTATCTTAGGTACATCTTAAGATATGTCTATTTCAACTTTCATGTTTGCACAATTTAGGAACTTACCCCCCTCCCCCCAATATTTACATGCACTTCTCAAATCAACAAATAATACCATCTATTAATATCTGGCCATGAGCCACTGTTTTACCTGATTTAAAAATTCCAGTTTCTGAAAAACACTTCTACCATAAATATCACTTCTATCTTTAAAATACAACAACTAAGACATCTAGAAATCCAATGTTAATATGAAAAAAAGAAAAAATGTGTTAAAAAACATCAAAACTTTACTTTTTCTTCCACTTCTTGCAAAGCATGTTTTAGCTCTTCTATCTTTTCCTCAGCAGCTGTATTGCCCTAGAAAATTGTACGTTGAAACATATATTAATCAACATTCATGTAAACACACAGACTTATCAACATAACAAACCAAAAATGAATCTTTACAAATAACCATATAATTTAAAACACTTTGATTTTCAAAATCAAAAGCTCAAAACCAGACCTTACACACTAAAACATTGAGGGTATGCATTTAATTACGAACAGGACTTGCATTAACTGGCATTGTGTATTAAATGATTATATCAAGGCATGTCAGGATTTCAGTAAACTTGATGATCAACTAACTCAACAAATGGTAATAAGCACTCATTAGAAAAAACTAATGTGATAAAACCTAAATAAATATTTATGTAAAATTACAGTATTTAAGCTCTTGCATGCTCTTGGATTTTTATTTCCTTATTTTATATGGCCAAGCAGTAATATACTTCTCTTTATAAAAATAAAAACTTTCTGCCTAAAAGCATTAAGTATTCAAAATACTGAAAAAAAATCCACTGGAGGAAAAACGAGCAACTGTATTTCAATTCTTATTGTCAAATATGCTTCATGTCAACAGCAGGTGAGATTAGTTACAAGGCATGTTACCATGTGAAACTGTATTCATCTTAAATATGTCACTTTTTTTTAAAGCAATAATGCAAAGGAAGCGAAAAGCAAAGCCAGTAGGTAACCAATATGCACACTAATACACAGTTGTAACATAAACTTCTCCCAGATCATAAGCATCAGCAAAAAAAGAAAATATGACAGCCAATAAAGAAATTAATTCAACATCATAGAGAGGATCCACCTCCTCATACTATATTCTTTGTTATATTATATATATACAATAAACGTAACAATGATTATGAACTCCAAGCAATATATGACATGCTCTTGTCATTAGATACATTATATACTTTATCACTGAAAGTGAATATGAAATAATTCATTAATGTGCATGCAGTAGGCAAAATAAATGAAAAATTAATGCATCAGACACCATGCAGCCTATATGTATTATGCATATTACTTGATGAGAGAGCTGAGACTCTCTTCCTCGGCTGGCTTCAAGCTCTTCAATCTGAGCTTTCAGCTGAAATTCAACATTTATAAGAATACATTTCACATCTAAGAATGTCAAATACACATCTATAATGAGCACAATGCTATTTTGGTTAGTATCACTTAATGCTAATAATTTATTTGGTGTTATTTCTTAATTAAAAATTTAAGAAACTGTGTAACTAATGCATATATTTTGAAAATTCTTATGTACCTGAAAAGGGTCATACAAAAGTGGATACAAAATGCAGAAAATGGAACTAACAAATAACAAAAATTCATTAGTTTTTCTTTCTTTCTTTCTTTCTTTCTTTTTTTTTCAGGGACCAGGGACTTAAGAGAACATCATATCTATAAATATGATTTGCAAGTAAAAGCGACATCTATGAAAAAAGTTAAAAAAGTAAAACATTTCTATAAATGGCCTCAGACCAAAAGTCTTACAAAAATTACACATTTCATATATATATATATACATAGTCAAATTTCATCTCATCATCCTGCTTTCTAGGCATGGGTCATTATTTCACTAATGTTTGGCTAATTTAGAAGTTAATACAATGTAAAACAGAGGACAGGGCAGTCCTTCCAGACATACTCACCCTATCTGATTCGGTCTGCAACTTGGTCATAATTCCACCCACAGCTGCCTGCAGTGTAGAAGTAGCAATACCCAACTTCTCCTGGAGATTCTCCACCTTTTCCCTTGTGTCACGCTCATGTGTTTTCCTGAAATTATGTGAGACATAATATATATTGGACATTTGTGTTTACAGGAAAAAAAAACTTGAGCAGACTACAATAATAATAATAATAATATCTGAGTCACTTTTTTCACTCTGAATTAAAACATCGAATAATTAATAATAAAATAAGCAAGTGATAAGAGGTTTTCATCATCATACTTATCATCAGTAATATACCTTGACTTGATCTCAGCAGAGAGCAGTTTCTCTTGTTGTTTCTTATACTGCTCAATCTGTCCCTGCAACAGGTCCACTGCCTCATCTAGCTTGTGCAGGGTTTCACTGGTCTTAGCACGCTCCAACTGTGAAGTTGTACAATACACATTTTTCATCAAGACAAGAATCTAGCCACACATTATCAGTTTATACATGTATCGTTAAATCAAAATTGCTTATAAAAAAACAAAAGGATTCATGTATCTAATGTACTCATAAGGCAACTGATACAAAAGTTTTGCTCTGAGAGAATCAGTGTATTATGCTTCTGGCATAATGTTCCTGGCTGAATAAGGAATATCTTCATTTTGACCAAAAGTAGGAAAGGAAAGTGATTAATTCTGTCACTGCTGTCATGCAATTGCTTCTCTGCCCTGGACCATTCTAAAACTGGGGCATAAATGAAATAAGCTAGTACACTTTAACTATTCAAAATAAAAATGGAAACAAAAACTGTAATGCTAAAACAACATGCATGCTGATTGTTAATCACTAATTTTTCCCTTGGTTAAATGTATCCACCTAGTCACTGGGTTAATTATGGCTCAAACTAAAATTCAACATTCACTTACATAATCACGGAATCGATACACTTTGATCAGTAACTTAAACAAAGCCATTTTTCCCATATTTACAATATACTGACTCCTAAGCCAGAGATAAAGAAAATTGGCAATGCACAACATGCAATGACTTACTTTTACTGTACTGACTGCTCTCTATTATGTAAAATAAACTCTTGTACAAAAGCATTGAAAATAAAAACTTTTCTTTAAGAACTCTTCCCAACGTATAATTTTATATACACAATGAAAATGAAAGACTATGTCTGCAAAAACTACAAGACATTTTTCTATTTACTGGGATGTTTTGTAAACAAGAAAAATTTAAAACAAAAATAATAACATAAGCAAATGTGTATTTTTGCACTTAATATATGATCAAAAGAATTGTGTAAGAATAAAAAAACGACTGGTTTATGCAACCTAAAACCAAAGTCCTCTGCATATTATCACATANTATATACACAATGAAAATGAAAGACTATGTCTGCAAAAACTACAAGACATTTTTCTATTTACTGGGATGTTTTGTAAACAAGAAAAATTTAAAACAAAAATAATAACATAAGCAAATGTGTATTTTTGCACTTAATATATGATCAAAAGAATTGTGTAAGAATAAAAAAACGACTGGTTTATGCAACCTAAAACCAAAGTCCTCTGCATATTACCACATCTACTTACTTTCTGAGCTTGTTTGACAGCCTGCAGATCTCCTTCATTGCTTTTCTTGACTGAGTCCCATCTCTTGTCCAGCTCTCTCCTGAGATCACTCTCAAATGCCATCCTGGCTGACTGCTCATTGGAGATTAGCTGAAGTTTGAGCACATATATTGATTCTTTTATATGCACAAATATGTTGATCAATCAGGATTATATAACAGAGATTTCAATGTGTTTGAAATGCTATAACACTAATGAAGTCTAAGAACAAAATACAGAAAGTTAAAAAAAATAATGATGCTAAATATGAAGAACATAGTCATTTTAGTCTTGTTCATTAAGGAAATTATAATTTCTTTGATTATGTTGTACTTATGTCTTAAAATAAAAAATAAATAAAATAAATTCAATGCTGAAAGTATCTTTTCAATTGCACTTTGGCTAAAATACCTTTTCCACCATATTAAATTTTTCCTGTGACTCTTCCCTTAACTTAATCTCTTTCTGGAGTATTTTCTTGCTAACTTCCTCAGCTGTTTCTGCTATTTTGCCCTGGAGCTTGATTCTCTCAGTTTCTGCTGCATGTTCACGCTCTCTCTGAATGGAATCCAGTGCATGCATGGCCTCCTCCCGCTTTCTGTTCTGTTCAGCAATGTTGGACATCAGCTCTGAAATCCTGAATGCAAAACATGATCAAATTATTTAATCCAGGAGATGTAAGAACTTGAAGAAATTGGTCTCTTATTTTTGGTACAACTTTTTTCCCTTTGTTACAACCTACACTGTTACAAAATTTCAGTACTGAACAACTATTTATTATTGCTTTAGTATGTGTTTTTTTGATAGACTCTTAGGGGAATAATTATAGCTAATTTTGTCATATCAATTTGACATACACCTCAAAGACTCAAAACACTAAACCACAAATCAAGGCATCAGTCATGTTGGACAAAAATACTCCTTGCTGGTTATAGTGATCAAAAGCACATCACAAACAAAAAAGTACCCTTCCTTTGTGTCAGCTTTTCTTACTTTTTCTGCACTGCCTGTTCCAGCATTCTCCTCTCCTGCGTCTCTCCCTCCTGTTTTCCCCTCAGGTCCACCAGGACATCCCTGAGCTCAGACAGCCTGCTCTCTATCTGCTGTCTCAGCTGGGAGGAGGTGCTGTCTGACAGGCTCTGCACCTCAGCATGCTTTCTCACTGACTCTAACTGTAACAAAAAAAAATTGTTCGTGAAGTTCATTTCTTTGTAATTATGTAATAAGGAGTGAAAGTCTATGTTTTGTGGTTATACAAACATATGTATTAAGTGCCATTACAAGTGCTACACTAGTTTATTGTACCTATCTCATGTACAGTCTACCAAATAAAATTTCACTGAAGAAAGATCTGGAATTTAGATGGAAACAGTTTCTAATCCAAGAGATTATATGCAGAGCTGATGATAATATTACATGATTTTATGAGGAACAGATATACTGCAGCTATGACAAAAATCAAAGACACAGTCAGTGAGAAGATTCAAGCAGGTATAATACATGTACAAAAAAAAAAAAAAAATTAATATACACCATCCTGCTCAAACAAATAATGTTGTATTTTTAACATGCACTGTAGTATTAGGATATTTACTGATTCAGTGTATCACCAGACATTATGCTGTGGAAACATTAAACCTATATATAGTTAATTATGCTCTTTAAATCAACAGCCAGCAAATATTCAGCATGAAGTATACAACAGAAAAAAATCAATGCCTTCACAAAAGTGACGAGAGAAACCGATTAAGAAAACATCCCAACATAGATTACATTTTAACAAAAATGGATCAATATCAGTATCTATGAACAACTAAAAAACAACGTATTGTGATCACATGAATACCATAAAACTTGATAATCTACTTCGAGTACTTAACATCAGTGCATGCCCCTTCAGTAACGTCTTTATCTATATGGCAACTTACTGGTTTTCTTTGTAATGGAGACTAAGAGATGCCACTTTGTAAATCTATGGCCTTTTTACATGCATTTTCACAACTAAAACGTCACCATGACAATGAATTCATCAGCAACACATTTTCAACGGAAACCAATCAATAAAGCAAATGAAATAAAACACAGAACATGCAAAGATGGCATTTTCTCAAACATGCCAATTTACAAAGTGTAGCTACATGCATTACAGCCAAATGGTTCTTGTGTTAAGCAACACAGGGAAATATTTATCTCAATGGCTGTTTGCCATGATAACAAAATGTGACACCAAACATGAAGAACTGGACATTTCCAAGGTTTTTGCAGGGAACAGCATGCAATTACAATTGCATGACACAAAATACTTACCCTCTATTTTCCAGAAGCATTTACAGAAAATATAAGCATATGAAAAATCACAAATCTAGTACTAATTTAAAAACTAATTCAATAGTCTAAGGATTCTACAGAAAAGAAATGAAAACTGGTTGAATTGCCTAATTGCTGGCATTTCCTCGAAAATATACTAGTATATCTATGACAGTGCAATAAAATTTTCTCAAAATTGAAATCTCTAGACAGGAAAGGTTTTCAACTACAGAACAATTCTATATCAATATGCACCAATCTAGTACTATATATGCGACTACTCAAAACTGCTTAAAACAACTGAAAACATATGAATGCATTAAATTCATCACCAGCATGCTGCCTCAGTTCTAGACAAAGTGGTCATCACATACCGTTTGCCTGTTTTCCTCCTCTAGTCTTTTGTTTTTATTTTTTAAATCGTTGGCCACTGATGCAAAGTCCATGTTTTGATTATCCATCCTGCCCTTAAGCTGTCTCATTTCGTCCACCAAGTTAAAGGTCAGTCTTTCTAACTGGTCTTTTGCCCTGGACACCTCCTCCAACTCTTCCTTCATTTCCTGCAACCTGTTATAAATACTTGGACATTAAGAATCAAAGCACTGTCTTTACAGTAGACTAAAATCTATAGTGATAAAACCCTTTGTCCCTTCATTATATTCTTCAGCTATACATTTATTCTTCCTTTCTTTCTTTTGTCCCCTTTACCCTTTTTTATGGCAAAATTATAAATGTTAATTAAAATTCAAGCAATTAATTAAAAACTGAGATCTTTTATACAATTTCAAAGAGAAGCTGTATTTTTAGTTTTACACTGAATATGAAAACAATTAGAAGACAAGCCTGGTCATATAGGCGAAGTAAAAATCAAAGTCATGATGATGTAAATAAAGTCATGTTCACACCAGGATGAACTCAGACCAAAAAAACAAACAAAACCTGCCATCTGACATCAACAGACAACCAAATTACATAGGCTAAAGGATTGTCTTATAATTTTGGTCATTGGGTGACATCAGTAAGTGTGTTTTGGTCCAAGTTGGCTCTTGTGTGAACATGGTTTATGATCTGTTTGATGTGCTACCTGGCCGTCTGTGCCTCCTTCCTACTGACCAGCTCCTGCTGACTGCCCAGCACTGCCTGCTCCACACTTTTAGTATGATTGACCAGGGCTGATATGGCCATTCTCTCCTCTGCTATTTTATCCTCTGTTCTTTTTAACCTGCTGCTCAACTGTGCTATCAAATCATTGCTTGCTCGTAAAGAGTTCTCAAGCTGAAGTCTTGTTTGCCTTTCCTCTCGTAATACATCCTCACTTCTACGCACATTGGTTTTCAGTTCACTCTGCAACCGGACAACTTCTTCCAACAAGGCTCGGTTGGATTTTTCAGTGACGTTCACTCTGGTTTCCAGATGGCGTAATCTCTCCTCTGGCTCTGCATCAAAACTGTGGTCCATTGGGACTACCTGATTGTCTTTTGTTGGGATAGGGGAGTTTCTGTTCTGAATACTGGGCAGAGCACCATATTTGGATGGAAACTGAGGCCCAGGCCTGGAACAAAATGAAATCAGCTCAGGAATATCATGCATATACATACAAAAGTACATACCTTATGTTTGGTCACGAAAATTAGAACATAAAAAAAGGCATTTCATATAATATACCAGTGTAATTAATACTTCTAAAAAGTTGCAATTCTGTTTTACAGAGTAATGAAATTTTAAACAAATAACCAAGTGACATCTTAATCCCATAATAAATTTAACTCAATAGATGATATACCTTGAATATCTTAGCCAATAAGACATGTTGAGTTTGTCCTTCCAATAAACATAATGTAGAATGAAAACTTCAGTTCCCAAATATCAAATTTTACATCTTATGTCTTACTAAGGAGTGTTGTATTGTACGAATCATTATTTGCTGAATGGCAAGTGTACATAATACACTTCCCTAAAATGCTCCATGAACAATGTAGCCATCGCATGCTCCTTTCCCAGAACTGACAATGCCATATACAGACAATGATGCCATTTTCTATAAAACTCCCTACTGGATACAGAAACCTGTTCCATGTGAATTGTCAACATATATCACACTGCTGATCATTGGGCCCAGGGGGAATGGTGTTTGTTTATGCTACACATACAACTTTAATGGACTGTTCCTTTGGGATACTGTTGCTGCTCATACTAAAAAGCACTGACAGAAGATCATTTTATCATTTGTATTGATCCATTGAACAATGGGAGAACTATTCATTGTTATTTGAGAATAACATTCAAAATAAGCCAACTGTCAAGATTTCTTTTATGTGCAAACTTTATTCAGCTTGCAAACTGACAGATAAACAAAACCTTGATCAATAAATTTCCCAAGGCTAAAGAGGACTTTGATTTTTCTTTTTCATAAAATATACGGCCTTTACTTAACCTTTATCTTAAATTCCAAAGATGCTTTTTACTTCATCTATTCCTTGTATGCCTTTGGTTCTGTTTGTCTGCCTGTTTGTAGAAACATACAAATAATTATGGACAGACTTTGATGAAATTTTCAGGACAGGTCAGAAGTGGGCCAACTTAGAATCAATTTTATTTTGGTGGTGTTTCATTGATTAATTATTTAACAATGAGAGCTGATTTGTTTGCTAGTCTTTTTGTTCGTTTGTTTTTTATTTGTTTGTTTGCTTTTGGGTTGTGTTATTCAGCTACCAGAATAATATATTACAATTAAAAAGAAAGAAATATATTACAAGATAAGCAATGAAACACGACAACTCTTATTTTACTTTCAGAAGCTTTAAATAATCCTTATCTTACACAAAAATGCGAAAAGAGAACAGTGATTTTTAAAGAGATGAAACATATATATGTGGGATCAATTAAGGTGAAATACCTGGAAATTTTTTTAAGATTTGATTTTTTGTCAAACATTGCATTTCATTTCTGATGTATGAAACTTGTGAGTAAAGACAAAACTCTTCAACCTGTGAGAAACCACACCTCATTAAAATAAGTGAAAAAGGGGTAATAATAAAGATATAAAAAACAAGAAAATAACAATGGCTTTGTAAAAATGTCACTTCACAAGCACCAATGGTTCTAGGATCAGGAGTGCAATATGTTCCAACAATATCTTACATGGGAAAGACGTAAAATAAGCCATTTTATCTATATCTTTTTTTTTTTTATTATTATTATTTAATATGCAGTTACACATACATTGAAATTTTCATTGAAAATACTCACGACTGCATGGTTATGGGATTTACTCTCTGGCTATGAGGATACTTGCTTTTCTCCATTTCATCCCAAACTCCTCATTAAAATTAATTTCCTGCACAAAAAACAAGAACATACAGGTGACTCCATTATACTACCATTGTTTCTGTATAATCAATAATACCTTTTGTCACTTAAAACCTTGTCATTATTGATCCGTTTCTTGCCTACCTGAGAGAATTAAATGTAAAACTAAATTGCTCACTATTGACTAGCAAGCAAATGTTTGAAACAACAAACAATATGCCTCATCACAAATCAATACAATACTCATGTTATCATAATGAATTAATTGTCAACACATTACTGATGTGACTGCCACCTACTGGAGTCACATTAAAGCTAAGGGTCTAAAAACCAATTAACAACAAATAAAAAGATACTATATTAAAATACTAATAGTGTGAAGATGAATAAAAAAAAATTGAAAAAAAAAAAATACCGAAATTTGAAAAAATGACATATGAAAATACAGAGAAACAAAATATATATATATTTCATGATTAACAGACACCAAAAATAAACAGAAATAGACACTGAACCCTAACATATAGAACATACCTTCATATTATTTGTGCTAAATGGATATAAGGAAAAACTTGAATAAAACCTATAACCAAACCAAAGGAAGACAAAATTAACTGCAATGCATCCAATGAAAATCATAATAGAACAAAATGCAATTTCATAATTGTCAGTTTTATCCAAAATATACATACTAGACTAGTTATTATATAGCTTTATAAGAAATATTCTGAACAAGAAAAATGAAAAGTTAAATAATTAAAAAGTAAAACAGTTGAATTGAAAATAAGTTTAAACAAAATGTGTGAACAATCTTAATATTTAAAGGGACAGGTAGATACAAATTACTGTTTGTACCTGTAAACCACAACATGATGATATAGGGTATATGGGGATATTAGGATTCTTAATAAAAATTAGTGAAATCTATCATTCACTTGTTAGATTGTTAAACTGAATAAAAATTATGTAGTATTCCAGCACTCGAACCAAAATTTCAAAACTCAGAACTGCATTAGGACTGCAACACTACCGTACCTGCAGGCCCATAGCCAGCAATTTCAAAAGGGGATTCTTTTTCTGAAAAAGTGGACCTTTTTCCATAAAAACTTCATGAACCTAGATCAAAGTTTACCCAGAGTGGACCTTTTCCCACTAAAAGGGGCGGTTCTTTCAAACCCCGACCCCCCCCCTTCCCCAGCTACAGGCCTGAGTGTCCTGGTATAATGTAGTTCTTTGCGAAACAATCATTTATAAATAAGGAGGCCAAAATTGCAATAAATACTGATAACAGTAATACACATGTACATAAAGTCATTGCATATAATAGAGCAATGAATAAAAGGAATAAACTACTTTACGATCCAGTAAAAAGATGGAAAAAGAAAGAGTTTTTCTTAAAAGCCAAGGGGGAACTTTGACATCCCACCTGTTATTCAGAAGAACTTAGATCTAGAATAGTAACTTAGTGTCTGACGCTACTCCAGTAGTATATATAGTAAAAGGGTTTTGAAATCTAAATCAGTACACTACCTACTCATTTTAAATGAGTTCTAACTAATCTCAACAGCAAAATGGCCAGTAGAAACCAAATCTTCAGTTAGATCACTTCTGATGATGTTAAATTGTACTTAGAATTAGTTTGTATTGACTGTCGAAGTTTTTAATACTTACCTCCACTTTCAGCTTCCCGAAGGTCAACCATTTGTTGTAGGGTATCGAAGTCCAATAAAATGTGATTGGCTAATTTAGTCATGTGATATGTTAAGCTCATTAACACTGTTAGTCTTAATTTAGTTTTATCTTAAAATATTTATGCTTTGTAATCGATTTGGATAGTTACATGAAATATAAGTGAGATTGAATTCAACATTCAATTACATCTTTTTTCTAAAAATACAACATTAAAAGATAAAGAGCAAAAGACGTAACGCTATAAAGATTGTAACCAATAACTAGCTCTGTATACTTGAACTCTGACCTCCACCACATGAGAGTCAAGATGTCCGACGAAGGCATGGGTTCAGGAGAGGATGGTGAAATGGAATATGTTCCCGTAGACGAGGATGAACCAGATGAAGAAGAAATGACCGAAGAAAAATCGGAACCCAAAGCTTACCTGCCTGGAACTCAACTTGATGACGGCGAAGAACTAGTTCACGATGAAAGTGCATATGTTATGTATCACCAAGCTCACACAGGTAAATGCAATAATTTGGTAAACCTTGTCCGGTCCTTGGTATATTGCTGTTATTAGTGTCAGAACGTACTTGATTCCTTATCACTGTTGGATTGACAGAAATTGTTATTTAAAGTACACCTTTAACACTTGGACGATTCAGATAAGCCCAAAAGTAGACTAAAAATAATAATGAACATAAACATGTATTTATGGCTGCGCTCATAATAAAAAGAAAAGAAATAAATGAAGTAGCCATGAATAACATGTAAAAACACAAACTGCCAGCTGTTCCTGAGACTGCAGAGTATTTTGACATGGTCATGACATCTTGGACTTTACTGACGTATATATGCACAACTTTACCCAATGTTTTTTTTTTTTTTTTGTTTTGTTTTGTTTTGTTTTCAGGTGCCCCATGCCTCAGTTTTGATATCCTTCAAGACAGTTTGGGTGACAGCAGAGAAGACTTCCCCATGACAGCCTACATTGTCTGTGGTACACAAGCTGAAAGGTCACATGCTAATCATGTGATTGTGATGAAGATGTCCAATCTTCATAAGACAAATAAAGACGAAGAGGACAATGATGCTGGATCAGAGTCGGACAGCGAAGATGAAGATGAAAAGCCGGAGCTAGAAGCTGCCATGATAAAACATAATGGTGGTGTCAACAGAGTTAGGGTATGCAGTTTTGAAGTGACTACTTGAATTCTTTTTAGCAACCTTTCAGTTATTCAGTATTACTTGTGCTAGGAGTCATTCTATTATATGGAGTCTCAGCCTGCTGAGAAATTAAATGTTAATACATCGTACATGTATGCCCTGAATTTTATCAACTATAACAACTCAAAAAAATAAATAATTGGTAGGCTGAATATATTGAATAAAGTGTTCTGTAATGTAATTAGTTTTAAAAATGCAAATAATTCATAAGAATATAGATTGGTACTTTGATTATAAACCCCATGATTTTATAGAAGATTCTATGTTGTGCACTTTTGCCTCTGGTATTTTTAGGCAACAACTGTTGGAGACAAATCCATAGCAGCATCATGGTCAGAAATGGGGAAGGTGCACATCTGGGATTTGTCCAGGCCTCTAAGTGCAGTCAATGACTCCAGTGTGATGAGTATATACACCAGGAACCAGGAATCTCCTCCACCATTGTACACATTTGGTGGGCACCAGGTGGAGGGATTTGCCATGGATTGGTCATCTACAGAACCAGGTGTGTGTGTGTGTGTGTGTGTAGAAGAATAATTTGTAGTTTTTATTGAACATTGATAATCCATAGATGTACTGCAATTTTGTCTCAGATGTAAAGATATTGAGAAATGAAATGAAATATATGTTGAACTTGAACATGTGGTTCTGAAGGTTTTTAAAGTCTTGTTTACCGTGGTGGTGGGGGTCTTTTCTCAAACCAGCCAGATTTTCCAGTACAATATAAAGGCACAGAAATATGAGCTCAGTCACTGCAAAAATATGGCAGAGTAGGTAAGCAGTAATAATTATCAGAAATGCTATATTTAACTTAAAGAATTATACATCATTTCATGATTTTGCTTTTTTTCCCAGGAAAGCTGGCCACAGGAGATTGCAATAAGAATATCCACATCTGGACACCTAAAGAAGGAGGAACATGGCATGTTGACCAGAGACCCTATACTGCACACACGGCCTCAGTAGAGGACATACAGTGGTCACCAAATGAACCCAATGTAAGTTGTAATAAGAAAAATCAAATGTGTGTCTTTTAAGTAGATCATAACTTAGTAATTATAAAGAAACGGCTTTGAAAATGGAATTAATGATGAAAACACTGAAAAAAGTTTGTGAGGATTGAAAAAAGTTTTTGGATATTTTTGGTTCATTAATTTATATTGTTTGAAAGGGTGTTTTAAATTTAGACCAAAACCTCGATAATCAACCCACTGTGTGTTTCAGGTATTTGCGTCATGCTCAGTGGACAGATCAATACGGATATGGGATGCTAGAGCAGCACCAAGTAAAGCATGTATGTTAACTACTGAAAGTGCACATGAAAGAGATGTCAATGTGATCAGTTGGAACAGAAAAGAACCTTTCATTGTATCTGGGGGAGATGATGGCATCTTAAAAATCTGGGATCTGAGACAATTTCAAGTGAGTTTTTTATTACTGTTATTATTTTGGATTCATGTATTATGGTTTGTTATTCATTTTCGGTATTAAGGAATTGCACTTTCAAGTTTTTGAAAATAATGCTGTAAAAATCTGCTAGATGTGAGATGGGATGTCAAAATATGAAGGTGAATTTTTCTTAGCCTGTAGCTCTCTTTGGAAAGTCTTCAGTATGACTTTGTATTTAACAACAAGATCAGTAATTCAATGAATTCTCAATACCTTCCATTATTTTGATAGATCTACCTACTAGAATAATATAACTAAATATTGATGTAAGGTAAATTGATAACAGTGTTACACATCAATTTCAGAATGGAAAATCTGTAGCCTTGTTCAAGCACCATACTGCTCCAATCACATCAGTGGAATGGCACCAGGCAGACTTCTCAGTGTTTGCAGCCTCGGGATCTGATGATCAGATTACGCTGTGGGATTTAGCTGTGGAAAGAGACTCTGAAGCACCTGGAGGGAGTAAAATGGAAGAGCCAGAGGTGCCTCCTCAGTTATTGTTTATACATATGGGACAGACAGATATTAAGGAATTACACTGGCATCCACAGATTCCTGGACTAATATTGAGTACTGCTCATAGTGGATTTAATATATTCAAAACAATAAGTGTATAGCAGGAGAAGATATGGAGGAGCATGGTTTTAATTTTTACAATCCTTTTGGGAAGAATAACCATTGTTATTGTTTTTCAGTTTACTTGAACTAACAAGTAAGAGATGAAGTCAACTAAACAATTCGCCAAAAAAGAAAAAAGATGAGTCTGAACTGGCATGTATTACATTTGTACTCGTGTCAAAATTTGAATATTACAGTAACTATGATATAATTTAGGGTCTTTAATGTCTTTTAAAGGTTAAATAAGAGAAAATAATTGACAACATTTGATGCAGCATAGCAAGGTGTTGTGAAACCATCAAATTTACCACAGACTTTTACTGCAAAATGAATGCAGTTTCAGTTTTAATGTGAGCAGAGCAAATATATTTATTGGTGCTTTACCTTTAATAATAAAAGGCAACTAGAGAGATGTCTAGTGATCCTCCAGCTTTTTGAAATTTTGAGTAAATGGAGTAGAGTGGGTCATTTTGTGTTTCAGTGTGTAATGAATCCCAGAAAATTGTAACAGGTTACAACAATCGCCAATGATAAGAATTTCATTGCAGAATTGCTTTGGCTGCATTGGTCAAATTAATAATCATTTTTAACAAACACAGGACAAACAGTACTTTACTTTTATAAAATAAAAATGCTAAAAAACTAAATCTCTTGCTTGTTTCATTTATTTGTCATATAGGTGTATTTTTTGTAACAATATCCTTATACACGTTTCATACAGAGTACATATCCAACATGTTATCTTACAGACTTTAATGCAGTGCCTTGATTTTTTATTGAACAACACAGAAATATGTCCACAAGAGTGATCAGATGACTGACTGTCAATATTGTGAAGAGAGGCAATCAAAGTGAGTTCTGGCTAAAATTGAACCCATTACATAAAAATCTAAAATAAAAATTTTACCATGGTTGAGCAAATTTCCATACTTTTACTTACTTTATGGCCAAATTTCGTGCAGAACTGAAATCTGATGGAATTTAATACCCACAGTGATGTCTGGGGTTACTTAAGTTGTTTTGTTTAAAAGTAGTGAGACCTTATTTCAGTGGTAATAAGTTAAGTCAAATGTGTCAAACTCTCATGTCAGTGTACAGAAAGGCTGAGGAAAGTAAATGACTAGCTGAAATGAAAACAGCCAATCTGCAGATGCAGATTAAACATTGACTTGAAATCATCAGATCCTGATGCTAAAGTGGTGAACAGCAATGGAACTTGAGTTTCATGGGACAAGACAATTATCACAGGGTATTCATCAGGAATTTCTGGAAGCTTACTGCCCTGCTGGATGCCCTAACAGAAAAATACTACCATTAGCATGGTATGCAGAGCAATGTCAATGCATTCGTCCAGCAATTACAACGCAACAGAAAAAATCTGACAAAGCTGCAGATTACAAATCGAATTGAAATAATTAAACTTGATGCCAAAGTGGTGAACACCATAATAATACTCTGTGAAAGTTGAGAGCATTATGGGACAAGACAACCACCACAAGGTATTAATACTTTCCATAGCTGATTCCATTTTACAGAAGGTTACAACTTTAAATACAAAGAAAACCCTGACAGTTAAGGTTGGCATAGTACTTTCCATAGCTGTTTCCAATTCACAGAAGGTAACAACGTTAAATACAAAGAAAACCCTTAAACAGTTAAGAATGCCATACAGAATTGTGCTTCAGAACTTATTATTCTAACATATTTATTCCATAAAATAGCTACATACAGAATATTCTTCAAGTACTTTACCAATCCCTTATTAATTATTACATGTACCATTGAAAAGAAGATAGTGATCATAAATAAGTACACTGTACTATTTGACGTTTAGCGTTTACTGGTCCAACTTGACAATGATTGCTATCTGAAACAGAAGAGTAAATTACATCAGTCTACATAAATAGTAATCCTATAAACACCATGCTACTCTATGGAAGTTGACAGCATTATGGGACTTGCCAACCACCACAAGGTATTTATCAGGATTTCTGGAAGCTTAGGCTGCGTTCACATGAAAAATCTAATTTCTAAAAATCTATTTGCGGTATCTTGTAATCACGGTCTGTGCCCTGAATACCCCACAGCTTAAATACGGGCAGCACGAGCCAGATACTATCAAAGCTGTAATTAATTCTCGGCGCTGCCAGTAATTACGCTGCGGGGTATTTAGGGCACAGACCGTGATCACAAGATACCGCAAATAGATTTTGCGTCTTGGGTGGCCAGGAGAAGATGAACGTGTACGTGCCACATTCAAGAGGGAATGTTTTCTAGATAGTTTAGACGAACCTCGGCTGGGGCTAGAAGTTATGAGGTACCGCCCTCGCATGTTAGTTAAAGCAGAAGAAGTTGCCATTGAGATGGAAGCATGTCAGGATGCAGAAACAGCCCAAAGTTTTCTGCGCAAAAGCGATAACTGAATTTGAAGAAATTCCCAATAGCCACGTTGAGATATCATCTAATCCTGAGATTTTGAAGCTGAACCAATTACTTGAGCAACTTAACACCAAGAAAAGACCACTCTAGAGTTTGCCATTGAAATGCAGATGAAGATGGAAGAGGCCTTTAACATAGCCAGGCATGAGCTTGGACAGGCAGCCAAGAGACAAAAGAAGTATTACGATCTGCGTTCGATGAGGAAAAATTCTGTGTTGGAGACATGGTGTAGTTATACTCCCCACTTAGGAAGAAGGGACTGAGCCCGAAACTACAATGTCAATGGGTGGGGCCATTCACTATTGTTGACAAGTTGAGTGATGTGGTGTACAAGTTACAGAAGAATGCTAGATCTGACGTGAAGATTATAAATGGAGATTGTCTGAAGAAATATCATGGCAGTGCAGTGGCTCCCTGGTTTGTACCGGTAGATCGACACAAAACGGTAGCAACACAGACGGATGGTGACAAAAGTATGTAGGCATCTCCTAGGACTCAAACTGATCCCGTTCTCCCCTGCCATTGAAGAAGAGGGTACAAAAGAACAGACGGATGGTGACGGAAGTATAGAGATACCTCCTGAGACTGATATTGATCTTGCTCCACTTACTAATGAAAAAGAGGTTATAAATGAACAGACGGATGGTGATAAAAGGAAAAGCCCAACTGAGACTCAAACCGATTCCGTTCCACCTGCTAGAGAAGAAGATGGTAAGAGTGAGCCCGTCCCAAACAGTACTGTCGATGCTCTAGCTCCAGTCCCGAGGAGACCGAGGCGCAACCGATGGCCTCCCCCAATGTTTAAAGACTATGTTTAAGTATAAAAATGCATTGGTTCAAGTCATTTGATACCCTTGGCTCAACTGGGGGTGGAAAATGAGGACAACATCACTCGCTATTGCTGGATTTTTTCAAAGTTCGGAGTTAGATTATTAGTCTATTGTTAGTTCACTTTTATATTGTTAATAGTTGTAATATTTCAGCAGTTGTTTGAAAAGTTTTCTTTCTTTTGATGTTACTTGAGCCATGAGGACAGGACTTGTAATCTCCTAACCCTGCTCTTCGGACCGCGAAGGCAAGAAATATAGCAACAAATGCTCGTGCTCCAAGAACGTCTGCTCAGCTGACACAATGGAGGACCCAATAGGTTTCCCGAAAAAGCACAGTAGTTTTTCCAACGAGGAGATTGATATCATCGTGGACGAGGTGTCTTCCAATCCCACTCTTTTTTGCCAACAGTCAAACACTGTAACTCAAAAATCGAAGGAGGAGAATTGGAAAAGGATAACCCAAAAGTAAATGGACACTTTCATTTCAATACTTAAACAAAACCCCTTAATAGTACCCCCTGACCCGTGTTGCTTGTGTAATTTCATAACAGCATACTAGTACTATTAATAATAATACAGCTTTTAAAAGTTGAAATTTTTGTTTCTGAAAATATGTTTTTTTCCCCTGAAAACTGGTGAAAGTATTAAGAAGTAAATTGAATTAAATTAAATTAATTACTATGATTTATACAGGTATATATTGTTATATTTTTTAAAATCAGGATCAACAGTGTTTCCTTGAATGTAAAGAAAGAAGTGGTATGACTACTCTAGTCGTACCAAAAGAAAAGAAGCTGAAAGAAGAAAGGAGATGAGGAGGACTAGGGGAGGGCCAGAACCTCCCCAGCTTACAGCTAGGGAGCAAAAAGTAAGTTTATACACTGGCGAAACCCTGAGTGAATTATGGGAGTCTATGGTGGAAGAATCGAGAAAAGAGCGCGCGTAAGCTCTCGAATTTTAAGAAAAAAGACTGAAGGCAGAGCAGGAGATGCAGGCAAAATTTTTTGAGAGAGAAGACCGTCAACGGGCAATGGACCAGGAGAGAGAGGAGAGGCAATGGTAGGAATGACGAGAAGAGAAAGAATGAGAAAGACAGCACCAGCTTCAAATGATGCGCCTCCTTATGCAAATTAAAAATTGAAAGTCTCATATATACCCAGTTTTCACTTTGTATTTTCAACATTCACGCATTGATAGTAACTTTTTATTTTAAACACTCACTAGGTGCTGTTGTCTGAAATTATGTTACAGATAGGTTAGATTTCACATTTGGCCAGTTTTAGAAAATTTGTATTAAAATGGTCCTGGATGTGAATTGTTATATTTCGTTTTAGTTTTTCTATTGAGAAATTAAACAATGCATGCTGAGCCTTTTTGTGATTATATTTTTCACTTTGTATTTTCATTATTCATTGATTAAAGTAAATATTTAAAAAAATTTCCAGTACTGATTCTTGTAACCATTTACTCTTCCAAGAACAAATTGATAACAAATACTTATCATTCAGTTGTTATGGAGTTGGAAAATTTGAATAGATGTGTGGAGAAATTTGCAAAAAAGTTGCAAAAAACAAAGTCCTCACTGAATAAAACTTACTTATATTCTAAACTTTATAAATATATGAATAGGAATTTAGTCCAAATGATCTGAAAGATTGAATTTTTTAAAATCACACTCTGCTAAATTATTTGCTGCCCTTAGTACATGGCAGCAAGGTGTTAGTGCTGCACTGGTACGTCTCCAGTGGTGAGACCTGTTTCCTCTCTCTGAAAAAGAGAAGGCAATCCATTTGCCCCTGTCTCTCCCAGAGGGGTCTGATGTCTCTCCAAGGCCAAAGAAAATGCTATTAAATGCCATCTGC